GTGAAAATGATAAAAGTTTTGTGCTTCTCTCCCGCTTGCCAGCTATCTTTTCTTAATTTGAGTTGGGCCAAAGCAGCCAAAGTTGTTCGCTGTCAATGATGTGAACTTTTGAACTTTGATTGGTGGCCCAAACACACACACACACACACACAGTTCACATACACACAGGCAGTCGGGATTGCACACCTTTAAGCGCTTTAACTTTAGGCTTAACCAGTTTTTAGTTTGGCTTTCAAAGCAATCGCAGAATATTGTGTAATTAGCTTGGAAACAAAGCCGAGATTAAATTACACTAATTAAAATACCAACACAGCAAACCATGTAATTTTGTAATACACTTGGCCTAAAAATCCGTAAAGAGCTTATCGAATTAGTTCATCAAATTGGGCAAAACTGTATGCTTTGTTTATAGAAAAGCAGCAGTATTTCCCAGTAGTTGCTGGCATTACATTGTTGTGCAACAGCAAAGCAGGGCAAACAGAATGTTGCTTGATTAAAAATGCGAATAGCAAGGCAAATGCTTTAAATACCCAACCCACTTGAATGGAATGCAAATTATATCCTTTAGGAATTTCAGCAGAATGCATTTGCGCAGCTTCATTAGACGGCTGGGAAAGACAAAAGCCAGGTGCATTGCAGCCCCATTTTAATACCCGCTTGCCTTTTAAGCCAAGGATAAAGTGAGACTTAAGGATGTTGTAAGAGGAGTCGACTGACTCCGGAATGGAATGCAAAATAAATGGACGGGAAAATGCTCTTGAAGTGCCACTGATTTTCAGAACGCTCAAGTCAACCGACACAAATCACTTTCACTAATTATGTCTTCCTCTTGATGACCGGCCAGTTATCTATGGAGTCCGGCTTAAAAGCTAAAGGACACGCAGAAAAACAAAACTGAAAGTCGCAGCTGGTTTATCAAGTTCTTCTTGTTTTTGCCGTAATTCACAGGATTTTAGTGTAAGTGTGCTAAGTTCTAGTTGGCAGGTAAAGGTTTTGACTCTTCAGATACTGTATCTGAAGGCTCGCTTCGCTCGGTAACGAAATCCAATAAATAAAAGTGAAATGAAAAAGCGTAGCATACTTTTGCGGGCAGTTCAAGGTGCGACAATTTGTTTTTGGCTGACCAAGATAAAGCGAGTCGATAGTCCAACTAGCCATGTCTGGGGCAGTGGCCACTCCCTGAATCCAGCTGTCTGCTCCTCGGGTTTTTTCGACTTATTTGGTCAGCCACTGGCTGTCCGACTGGCGACTGGGTGCGCCAACGTATATTTGCCACCTGAGGTCACGAATACGTCGCTTACTTTCTGGCTGTGGCTTAGTTTAATTAAAGTTCTCTTGAAAATTCGACGTTGCTCGTATTATGGCCTTTTTGGTTGGCCCTGTCTGGGCTGCCTGTCAGCTGAAACGGCGAATTGAGTAATTTATTTCTCCCTCGGCAGCTGCAGCAAATTGTGCACACGTGGCGTATACGTGTTGTTCGCCTTTAATTGTTCATGCAGCGCTTGCAATTTCACCTTTATGGCATAATTTGCAATCCTCCTTCGCGGTGTGGCATATTTATATTTTTTATAGTAAAAAACCAAGTAAAAAGTTGTCTCTTTTTCTGTTCAGAGAGCTGAAGAGAGTCGTCTGCAAACTTTTGTCACCTAAATCATTTAGTGGAATATTGCTGGCGCTGTAAAGCAGTCAACATTAAACGAAGTGCCTGGTAAGCACCAACCGCTGAGAAATGGTGAAAATTTAGCACTGCTCATTATGGAAAAAGCCCTAAAGTGGGTTAAACTGCGGAGATGCAAGGCATTTAGTGAAAAATATGGCTATAACCCTTGAGAACTTGGGTGTTTAAAGGTGTCGGAAAAAGTTAATACTTTAATGGTGATACTTTAATAATACTTTGATAACAATGATAATGATAGTTAATATTATGACTAAAAGCTTAAATATCCTGCAACAAAACCTGTGTTGCCTGTTTCCAATAATACTCAGCTTTTCTCTGAATTCAACCAGCTACTTTTTGATTTTAATGAGTGTTAATATTCTGAGAAATACCTTTTGAATTAAAAACATGATTGCTTGGCTATGGAAACTTAACAAGATAATGCCCTAATATTTCAGCTCCTTTAAGGTAAGCACCTCTGGTTGTGCCCATTTTGGCCAAGGGGACAGCCACCCAATGTGCAGTTTTGGCCGCTTACAAGCCGCCCTCTGTGCACACAATGTGGCCATGTTTTCGCTCATTTAGCAATTTGCAGCGCAGCCTGGTCGCGTGTTGGCCATATTACCACCACCCTTGGCCAATGATGATCGATGCGCTGTCGGTGACGTCCAGGAATTATGGCCACCGATAGCGACAGCACGCACATTTCGCAGGACACCCGGTGTCCTTGCCCTTCAGCGTTTAGCGAACGCGGCTCGCATGAAAATTGGTAATATTCACTCAATTTATTGACTAATTGCATTTGCACTGGCTAATGAAAACGCTCAAATGCCAAATAAAATGGCAAATTTATCAAATTCTCTCACGCGCCAAAGTCCTTCGTTCTTCGATAGCTTGGCAAATCAACGTCGCAATGTTGGCCGAATACGAATATTTGAAATGCTAATTTGTAAAATGGTCTCCGCTGATTCGACAATGATAAAGAGCTTCGCCCACGTTGAGCGGCATTAGGTGTGAAAATGTAATTTACGCGGAGATTAATGGAAAACTCGTTAGTCCCACTTCCGAGTTGAGTTTTTCTTCTTTATTTTTTTTGGGCGCAGCGATTTAGTTTCGCAGCGACGACTGTCTCTTGTCAAATGAATGTCGGCAAGTTTTTGCGGTCAGGAAAATGGGCTGCCTGCCTCACCTGTTTCGTCCAATCTTCTGCAGCTGACAGTTGAGGGAAAATTCGGAGGTGGAGCAGGAGGAGGAATGCAGGTGAAGGAAACTGGCGATCCACAACTGATGGCAACTTTTCAATTAGAGACTATAAAAAGTTTACCCTGCTGCATGGTAAATAATTCAATTGTTTTGGCCATGTCCACATGGCTATCAACTGCTTGTTTTTCAGTTTTGAAGAGACTTTTGTTATTGCACACTGCGTAATATTTGATGCACTTGCAGACGGCTTAATTAGTGCGAATTCGAGGAGCTCTCACTTTTGGCCAACTTGCATCAGTTGGTCAGTAATTGGTTCTTTGGCCTCGTCAGCATAAAGTTGGCTTAAGCTCGGCACTGAAGAAAATGTTAGAAATAAAAATGTTCCAATGAAACTAAACAATATTAATTTGTAATGATAGTTATTAAAAGTTCTGTAAGCCACAACTGCAAAATACACTTTTAACTTTGCTGAATCTTTGCCAAACCTTGATGGGTGATAAATCCTAGTTTTGATTTTCGTATGTGGCTTTTATCTTGTATCCTGTATCCGCTCGGCAAGCCAATTAGAAAAAGAGGTCCTGGGGGACGTGATGGGAAGGATATCCTGGACATTATGTTTTCTGTTTGCCATGCTGTGCGGTGCAGACAAACATACTCGCACAGATGAAGGTTGCTAGCAGCTCGCATAATCAAGGGCGGGGGCACAAAAGGCAAACACGGAAACAACTTGTTGCAACTACAAGCCGAACAAAGTGGGTACACATACACATGTGAGGCGACGCCAAAGGACACAGATCCTGCGGACCAGCTGCGCTGCTGCGGCGGAAGTGGGCTGAAAGTGCGAAGGGACACTCGGCTCAGATTATAAATTATTTATACTGTTTGCCAAACAGGTAAAGAGTTTCCACTTGGCCCAGGATATTTGCACAGGTCCTTCGCAGAGCGGTGAAACGAGCTAGAATTCAAGTGCGAAAGTCGATTTAATCAGCACGCCAGGTACTTGGAAATAATTTCGATTGTGTTGCAGCAAAGAGTAAACATATTTCTTCTCCATATCAATTAAGCTGGCATATCCTGATTGTTTGATCGACCTTGCCTCTGGCCCATCAGGTACTAAACGAAATTCAATTAGATTGCACATTTTTATGGAGCAAATGGAACCGCAGTAGTGGAGTCCATTACAACAATCGTTTTTACATATTGTAAACCGGACAAAGCGCAATTGTTACGTGCACAAAGGACACCGCACACAGCGACAGCAAGGAAAACAATGCCGAGCAAACAAACAAATGGCGAGTATGAAATGGGTGTGGGTTACAGGGTATGCGTTATGCGTTATGCAAATCGAAGGTGAGAGCGAAGGGAGCAATACGCACGCATCGGTAATTGAAATTCTGGCGCGCACAGTCGTTTCCGCTGAGCCCAGCCAGTTAGGAGCACATCCTATATACCACACCCCCACCATACCATGCCACCCCATTCCATTCCATTCAAAACAATCCAAATCAAACTCAAGGACGACGGGCTCCTCGCGCCTGAAACAATGTAATTGAGTGGCGACAGGAACAAAACAGGAACAAAACAGAAGCTGTTTCACCGCCCAAATGGGGAAGCCTTTCATTCGGCGAGACTTTGTAGGCGGATTTCCCCAGTTCCTATTCCCAGCTGCTGTTCCCCGGCTGCTTTCAGTCCTATTCCGGTTTCCCTGCCGCCGATAGCGCTCCTCATTGTTCCGCCAAAGTGTCATAATTGTTTTCGTTTGCACTCGCCATTCAGTTGAAGTGCCACTTCGTGATGCCTTTGTTTTGGTTCATAAAAAAAGGTTTTAAATGATTTCGGGTACTTAAAACTTTCACTCAAAAAGAGAAAAGTGGTCTTATTACTATGCTTGTGCAATGTGCTTTAAGTTAAATATCATATTCCATGCTAAAATCAAAAATTTAGCTTGCTTTAGGAATTTTAATGCTTGATTATGTTGCAAAATTGTTGAATTTTATAAAATATTTAAAAAATTTAATTAATTTGTATTAATTTTTTGTATTTTTTTTTTTTTGTTAATTTTGCCCACTAAATTATTTTATTTAATTATTTTAATTATGCAAAAAAACAAACAAATGTCATCCATCCCTGGTTCGCTTATCAGCTGTTTGCCGGCAAACTATTTCGGTTTTCCCACCATCTATTTCGCTTTAAAATCAAATATGCAACGATTCCTGAAGGTATTCAACCAGCAAACATGCAAAGTAATCGGCATGATACACGTGGATGCGCTGCCAGGTGAGAGAAGCTACACCAGAGCTTCAGAACCAACGAAATCCGATTGCTTCTAATCCGGAACCACATCAGGAACGCCACGATACGCCGGCAACTGGAAGCAGACGATTGAGAAGGCCATCCACGAGGCGAATCTGTACAAGAAACACCAACTGGTAGGATATATGTACATAAGTAATTTTCCATTCTATATGCATTGTTTGTATATCCGTTGGCAGGATGCCGTGCTAATAGAGAATATGCACGATATACCCTATGTGCCAGAGCGTCTTCTTGGCGCCGAGATAGTGGCCTGCATGACGCGCCTGGGACGGGCAGTGCGCGATGTGGTCCCCAAGGAGACGCCTTGTGGTGTCCAAGTGCTCGCCTGCGGCAATAAACAAGCACTGGCCATTGCCAAGGCCAGTCAGCTGCAGTTTATTCGCGCGGAGGGATTCGTTTTTGGTCACGTGGCAGATGAGGGCTTCACGGATGCCTGTGCGGGCGATTTGCTGCGATACCGGAAGCTCATCGATGCAGAGGATGTGCTGATCTTCACAGATCTGAAGAAGAAGCACAGTTCACATGCCATAACCGCCGATGTCAGTCTCCTGGAAACCGCTCATGCGGCCGAGTTCTTTCTGACCGATGGCATCATCATCACTGGGACAGCAACGGGTCATGCAGCCAGTCCCGAAGATCTGCAGCAGCTATCCGGCCGGGTGAAGGTTCCCCTGATAATTGGCTCTGGGGTGACCAAAGATAATATCGACAGTTACTACAAAGATGCCCATGCAGTGATAATTGGCTCGCACTTTAAGCGAAATGGCAACTGGCTTGAGGAGATCAGTGAACCAGCTGTGGATGAATTCATGCAAAAGATTTGCCAGCTGCGGCGCTCGAAATGATAATAATTGTTAATGAATTTATTGATGTGTGATAAATGTTGTAAACGGTGAAATATGTATACGATTTAGTTTGAAGTCATCTAGTTCTAGAATAGATTAGCAAAGAAATCATAAATTCGCTCACGCAACGATGTGGGTTTTAGGGCAGAAGACGCATCGCTTGAGAAAGCAAAGGGTTTCTCGACCAAAACCGGCGACACTGCATCCAAGGTGTCGTCGAACTTGACCCGCTTTTTCTGCGGCGGCGTGCAGATCTCCTCATGGCTCCTTAAATGTACGGGGAACATATTCTCCCCGTTGAACAGATCCTCTCGCTTGACAAATGTTGGTATGGTGTTGTCCACATTGTGGGCCCTAAAATAAGATTTGGAGTCGGAGTAGCGACTGGCGAAGCCGTAGCTTGGATCGTGATCATTGTTGGGCGCCGGCACATTGCTGCGTTTGAGGATGCCGCGAACATTGGCTACCTTGTCCCCGGCGGCTATCTTTTTGTACAATTTTGAGATGCGGTTCTCCTTGCTGGCGGACTCTCCTGGTCTTCCCGGCTGGTGGCGCATCTGCACAGCCGGAGGCGGAGGAGGAGCTGGTGGTGGTGGTGCAACACGTTTCATGGAACCTGAGGAGGAGGCCTTTCCCATAATATTGGAATTTGGAGTCCTCAAAATCCCACTGGAGACTTTTCGCTTCCGAGAAAAGCATGCACTGTCCTCGGTCTCTTCTTCGGAATCTGTGCTGCGATTCTTATTGCGGAAAACCGTTTCATATTCCTAGTGCATTAAAAATATTAATACTTGTATTGTAAATTCAACTATTGGGTACTCACGCATTTGCGCTTATTGGGACTCAGTACATAATCAGCTCCGAACTTCTTCATGTCCTTCTTGCGAATGGGCGTTCTTTTACTGGAGTCCTTTCGTAGAGTTTTTCGGCACTGCACGTGCAAGTCGATGGCATCGCGGATGAAGCCCACCCAAGTGCGCGACAACTGAACATCGCCGCTGCCAAAGATTATGCCATCACTCTGGCAAGATAGCTTAAAGTTGCCCGGCAGCATTTCATACACTTTGCACTTTTTCAAAGGGAAAATGCAGCAACACTCCAGTGAGTTCTCCACAACGGTGTTGGGCGCTCGTTCCTTGACCATCTTGCAGTACATGAAAATGTCGGACATGAGCACACAATAGCGCTTAATTTTGGTGCCCTTGTGAGTGATCTTCTGCAGAACGCCCTCCTTGATTACCCGCCGCGAGGGCTTCACTATGTTTGGTGTGCGGTTCACCAAGGAGTTCTGCAAATGAATCAGATACTGGGTGATCTCCTGCTCCTCCACACAGGTGTTTATGTGACTGGCGGTGGCCTCGATCTCCTTAACGGATTCTAAAAGAATGACCACATTTATGGGTTACCGAGTTATCTGCATGTTTAGATCATACCTTTCAACAACTTATAGTCAGCATCGGCGGGACTCGTGTACAGCAGAACCTGCTCCAAAAGAAGCTTGTACCGCGGAACCCGCTGGATGGGCACTATCATCAGTGAGTTTAGTTTGCGTTGCACCTCCGGGCGACTCTCAGTCTGCTCCAAAAACTTTCGGAACACCGGATTCTTGCTGATCAAGTCCTGGATGATGAAAAGAGCACCGCGGTAATCAAAGGCGTACACAGAGTACAGCTTGAAGAAAGGTGCCATTTTCAGGAATGCGTGCGCAACATTCTCCATGTTCCCCTCCAGTTCCCGTAGGAATTCTCCGTTCAGATTGTGGATCATTTCGATTTGACCGAAGAGCAGCGTGTGATTGGAGCAATCGATGATAGCCTGTTCCTTTAAGGGACGCACAAAAAAGTTCATCAACAGCTCCAGCTGCTCCAGATACGACTTTTCCGACGAGATGATTTCCTGGATGGCCTGGCGCCGGAAGCCCAAACGTTTTCCCGATTCCGGATTGGGTGAGCCAATGGGACTGCTGTTGTTGCTGTCCAGCATGGAGCAAACTGCACGAAATAGCCGCAATTAGCGAACACCTGGCGACGCTTTTTTATGCTGCTCACCTTTCCTGCGCGACTTGGCGGTTAGGAGATTCCTCTCCTGCAGCACCTGCCGCAGTTCCCGGCTGAAGCTGAGAGGTGTTTGTGGCGAGGGGATGAAGCCATTCCCGTATCCTTTCTGCCTGGGCGTAAACATTTTCCAACCAACTTTTTGCAAAGAAGATTTCTAAACGAAAACGACGCCACACCTGCTCAATTTGAACAATGCCGCTTCTGCAGTGTTACCGTTCATCGGTGGCAGCCACACTGCAAATGTGAGACCGCACTGGCGAGGGGAGTTTGAAGAATAAATGGAATAGCAAGCAATACATGTATTTTGTATATAATTTGGTAGCCATTTATCTGTATTAACTGTTAGGTACCTATAAATATTATTAATATTGTAAAAGTGTAATATCAACATAATTTCATTTACAACTACTTGGGCCCGCAAATTAGTTGCATTAGCTTGTTTATTGTCTTGCGACATGGTCACACTAGCTTAATTATTTATTTTTTATACGTGGTTCGTGGCCCGTTTAGCTTTTAATTTAAATGGTGTTTTAGCTAATGCTGCACCGAAATGCATGCAAAACTCAGCGAAACGGAGTTGCGCATAGTGGCGCGTCTAAATGAGGAGTTTGGAAAGGATGCCAGCCGGCTGCATCGCGCCAGTCACCTCGTTAGCCACTACAAGGAGCGCCTCCAAGTTTTGTCACAAACGGTAAGACGAATATTGATCTGTGTAGGTCATGTTTTAATCCATATAATCCTCCAGCTGGACTACGAAGATGCCCAGAACGTGTCCTGCTACAAATCCGCCTTCCAATGCCAGCAACAGGTCTGCGAGAGCATCGACTTCGAGCTGGAAAAGCTGGCCCAGTTCGAAGCCAAACTGAAAAAGAAGCTCAAAGAATGCCAGCCTGCCCTTAAGGGAGTGGCCGAGGACGTGGACAATGTGCGACAACTGCAGCGTTTGCAGCATTATCTGCGCCTGGTCCAGGACATCCAAGAGATAAGCGCTGCCCTGGGCAATGCCATCGATGGCAAGGACGAGGACAAACTGGTCAATATCTACCTAACCCTCTACGAGGGCAACGACTGCGAGCACAGCGTGGTGGGTCGCCTGCAGGCCGTGCAGGCACAATCCCTGAAATCCTTTGCCGAACGCACTGCCATCTACTGGCACAAGCTGCTGCTCAAGCGGCTTTCCAGCGAATTTGAGACGGTCCTGAAGAGCATGCGCTGGGCGCATCTGGAACAGCAGGCCCTCAACTATTCACCCACACGAGACACTGCCAAGGCGCAACTGCTTGCGGAGTACATGTTCCTCATCAAATCTCCAGCCGAAGAGCATGCGCCACTGCAAAGCATCACGCCCAGCATCGTGTGCCAGCCCATCAACCAGGTGGTGCAGCTCCTATTGGCGCCATATCGCCAGCGCTTCACATTTCACTTCACAGGCACAAGGCAAACAAATAGATTAGACAAGCCCGAATGGTTCTATACGCAAATTCTCAACTGGGGCAAGGAGACGCATTTCTTTGTGGGCAAAACATTTCAGCCATCTGCCATCAAAGCGGGCAAGCTAGACTACAATCTCAGAGTAAGTACTTGGTGGCCTACTAGACCATTCAAGGTTCTAATTGTGATCCTCTTTCAGCTGGAGTTCATGCGAGGTCTGGTGCAGTTAGCCATTGAGAAGTTAGCGGTGGACATAGAACAGATTGCCCAGGACGAGATACTATTTGCCCATCTGCTTGACGAGACGCTGGCCTTCGAATCCGAGTTACGGGAAACATTTGGATATCCGGCGAGTTTTCCCAGCGCTATATCCGTAATTACGCAGCCAATGTATTTGCTTCGGTGGATTTCACTGGAAGAACGATGTGAGATAAGCTCGTTGCACTCGATTGCTGTTATTTAATAATGTGCTTACCTAGTTTGTGCGGAAAAGATGGATGACATCCTGCAAGCGGAGACGCCATTCCAGCTAATTGATCCCAACACATTCGAGGACGATCTGAAAATTCCCAAGTGTGCGGATCAGTTCATGCGACTGCTGGACGCCATTAAGGATCGCTACAATGGTCTGATTCAGCCTGGCCACCAACTGCAGTTCCTTCACCTGCAACTGGAGCTGATCGATAGCTTCCGACGACGCCTGGTGCAGCTGCACAGCAGTGGAGCGGTGCCAAGCATTCCCGTTCTGAATGCCATCAACTATTTGGTAATGGTGTTGCGCGAATGGGGCGAAAACGTGCACTATCTACACCTGCACGCGGCACTTGCCGGTCCAAATGCAACGGAAATTAATTCAGTGTTCGAGCATGCGGTCTCTGAACTGGAGCATTGGGCCAGACAACTAATGCGGAATCTGGCTACCAAGGCAACCAATGAAATGAAAGCGAAATCGATGAGCTATCGCCATGATGCGTGGCCAACAATGCCCGAACAAAACAGCCGGGAGCCGTTTATCCTCTCGCCCAGTGGGGGCGAAATGTTCCAGGTACTGGTTACGCTGCTACACAATCTGGACCGGGAACTGTCCGCCAATCTGTTCAACCAGACGCTCCGTTTGATAGCCCATCAAATTGATGACTTCATGCTCGAGAGCATGGTCATGAACACGAAGTTCGCACCCGCAGGGGCAGCGCAATTCAATTATGACATGACGCGCAATTTATTTGCGCTCTTTGGACAGTATACGCGTCGTCCCGAGCTGCTCTTCAAGCGGTGAGTCATCTCTGCATATGCCAACGCGCACAATAAGTATAAACCTGACACCTTTCTTTCCCATTCCTATTCCATTCGCCAGAATACACGATGCATGCAAGCTGCTGGCGGCGGCACGGGGAACAGCCTTGCTACTGCTGGAAACGCTGCGCAGTAATCAATCGGTGGAGGAGAAAACGAAGCCGCTGAGGGAACTGCATGTGCTCAGCATGGACAGCAAACAATGCGTCGAGGTTCTGGAGCGGAGAACGGACATAAAGATGTTTTAAGCGAAGCAAATCTTTAAGCTAGTTAATTACTCTGTTTCTTATTGGGCCCTAGGAATTTATGCAATGATATACAACGTTTAGACGCCGTCTTTTTGCGAAATAAAATTATTACTACCTGGAATGAAAGCGAATAGGTGTTTATCGTAATTTACATTCATTTTATTTGAAGAAAGGCATGTGTATAAACATAGTTATCATGACGGAGATTTAACTAATTTGTATTTAACCAGGACACAGTTTTGATCTGGTGAGAATGCTAGTAACAAACGACCAAGTTGTATGAATGACATAATTTCGAGTATATATTTACAATTAAATAGCGATTCCTTGCCCTTGGCGCACAAGTCTTGAATGTGTTGTGATAAGTAAACATTTAGTTGGAATCGAGGTTCAATGTTCAGTTTAATTTGTAAAACGTTTACACAAAAACATGCGGTAACATTAATAATAAATTGCTCTAAAAATACATAGCGTAAAATAGCATACATATATATCGGCCTGATCGGGCTCGAATCGCAGATATTGCATTTGACACATCAATACTGATTCGTTTTGATTCATGGCTGATCAGGGCGTATTGTATATGCCAATCGTCGGATGACAAACAATTGCAGTTAGTGAATACCAATTTGCGACTCGAGACGCACATCACACATCATCATCACATCGTGGAGCAGACCAAGGCGTATTGCCCGCAGAGAGTAACTTTATGTCTACACTAAATAACCGATAATAAACCGATCTGCGGGTGCCGTTCGCCTGTGTATCCCCTTTCTACTCAAAGTTCTGATAATTCTCGGGGCTGACAAACTGTGCCCGTTGCTGGGGTGTCATGTTGAGATTACCGCGGTGCTTGTTGTTGTAGGCCCAGATGATACCGGTGGAGATCAGGGCAATGGTCAGCCAGCCCATGAAGAACAACTGTAGCCACATGTGCTCACCGCCGCTGTGATCCACGATGATACCAGCCACGATAGTGATGACCGCCAAGCCAAGATTCTGTATCGACTGGCAAAAGCCGTAGGCCGTGCCCAATTGGTATTCCGGAATGATGAGAGCCACCAGAGGCCACAGGCTAGCGGCCAGCATGGAATACGACAGTCCCATGATGATCATACCCACATAGGGTGTCACCTGGGTGAACGTCAGCAGGGCATGGGCTCCAATGGTGGTCAATGTGGCAGTAAACACCCAAGTCACATTCCTGCCCAGTTTGTCAATGATGAAACCAAAGACAGGGGACGATACTGCTGCAATTAGATACACCAGCGAGTCCACGGTGTTGGCCTCTGCGGCGGAAAACGCAAAGCGATCGATGAAGAATTTCTGTCCGAGGGCAATGAATGGAAAGATGGCCACATAGTAGGCTACGCAAATTATGGAAACCATCCAAAAGGGTGGCTTAAACGAGAAGACATCAGTGAGTTTTGGGATTTGTCCAGCAGGGTTGTTGTTACGCTCCAAAATCCGCTCGGCCCTCTTGTCCATCCAGCCGAGTATGAGGGCACAGGTCATAGACATCACACAGGTGAGGGTAGCCAGCAGCAAGACGACGCCCAGTGCGGTATGCCCCTTGTAAAAGTTGCTCACATAGTCATAGATGGGTTGCATCACCCAGAAGTTGACGGTGCTGCCGAATCGGGCAACCGACAGCTGCAGGCCAAATACCATGTTCAGTTCCTTGCCCTTGAACCAGAGCACCGCATAGCTGTTCTGGGCCACGGCCAGTGATTCAGCGCCAATGCCAAAAATGAACCGACCCAGGATCATCATCCAGAAGGCATCCAGTATGCCGCCGCAGGCAAAGATCAGCTGACCCACCAGCAGAATCAGCATGTAGATAATCGTGCCTAGTCGAATGCCAAACAGGCGATCGATCAGGAAACCGCCCACGAAGCACAGGACGACATTGGGCCACGAGTAAATGGAGTAGATGAGCGTAAACTGGGTGGAGGTCAGGTGAAGATCCCGCTTGAAAACGTTCTGCAGGGCGCCGGGTGCATCGTAACAGAAATACGAGCCGAATCCCAGCAGGCACATGAACACCAAAGCCATGAATCGATGGCTAGTGCTCGAGGGCATACAGCAGCCGCCGGACGGAAGACTCAGTTCATTGTCATGCCGACCGGCCCGACCGACCACTTGGTCTTCCTCCGTTGGATGCGACACCTCCTCATTGTCCACGATGCGTTCCTCGTCCTCGCGCGCCATCTCCACTCACCGTTGCCTCAATCCGCACTGACCAGTTGTTGGCAGACGATTCCCGTAGAATATGGGCGTATGCAAAAACTATGTGATAATATTAATCGGACTTCTGATTTCCTGCCGCTGTTGTTTTTCTTTTGCATTCACTTTTCTTATTTCGTTTCTGCGAAATATTTGTATGAATTTCAGCGAACGAGCGAGTTGAACTCTTTTGCTTTGTCTTTGCTTATCTCGCTGCTTTTGTTTTTGTTTTTGTTTACTGTACCAGTACTCTTTGTCTAAAAACTATTGTTGTTGTTGTTGTTGCTGTTGTTGTTATGGTTGTTGGCTGCGTGGGCTAGTTAGTTGTCTCTGGGTTCATCGGTTATCAGCAGTTTTCCCACTCTTTCCACTTACAGCTGAAGTTCGTGCTGCGGTGTTAGGCGAAAATTTCCGGTGTCGTGTGCAACCGCACTTTATTGCTGATCGAATGAAACTAAATTGTTTTCTCCGCCTAATTAACGTTAATTACGAATATACAACGGCAGGGCTGCCAACTCGCTTTGGGGCAGGGTTGTCGACGCAGCTGCAGGTGCATTCAAGCAGCTGGAACGCGATAACGATCACAAGCACTAGGGGTATTCCTGGTTCGATTTCTATTACATTGAAAAGTCTCTAATTAAAAAGGAAATTCATGAAAGCTAGGAATAATTCTAAAACGTCTTACCTTACGAACCATTTAATAAACAGAAGACCGAACTTTTAAGCAAGTATAATAACGCTTAGAGAAAATTAATTAAACTCCAAGAACTCAAAAGTGCAGAAATGCCGTTCATCTTGTTTTGGTTTGTTTTACCATAGCCTGGCAACCCTAATCCAGCAACGCCGAGTCGAAGCATATTTTCATTCTTTTTACCGGGTAAAATGTACTTAATTATATAATTCAGGGGCACTTGCAGCAATGGATCCCACTGATACCACCAAGCGGAAGCCCAGACGCACCCACGGCACACCATCCTATAAGTACCGCAATCGATTCGCCTACGCCCTCTTGGCCGCCGGAACTGCGCTCTTCGGCATTTGGAGGTGAATATATTTTCTAATTCCACGGATAAATGGGGTTTTATAGTTTTCTCCGCCTCTTTTATAGCCTGACTCCCATTCAGCGCATTGCCAACGAGAAGCTATCCCAGGCAGTGGCTCAAACGGAGCAGGAGCGCGATAGAAAAGGACTCTTCCAGTTCGCCGCTCCAAGGACTTCGGATTTCATCAAGGAGGCCATCGAGGAGAGTGAGGAGCAGAGGAACAAATAATGGATCGCAAGACGCGGCGGGTGAACTTCAAAAACCTGCAACCTCGGTAATTTTAGTTTTAATGAAGACCAATAAAATTATTGCCATTATCTAACCGAACACGTTGGTTTCCTTTCATCCAAAGATCGACGCGAAGCACCAAAGCAACCACAGACACATTATCGCTATCCAACTTCTTTGCCACACCAGAAAGTGCTGAAGACGTTCCGCCATGTCTCACAGACATTCCTGTGGAGCTCGATCCGCCTGCACCCAAAATCAAACCAATACGCACCAGCAATGTGTTCGAAAAACCTGGACCCAAGCCCAAAAAGGCACCCAAACTCAAGGGCAGCACTGGGCCATCGTCGAGCGGCGCGCGTCGCGGACGCGGAAAGAGCAAACAGCAGCCCAATATCAGCAACTTTCTACGTAACGAGCAGATCTTTGCGGAGGTGACCGCCCAGCATTGCATGGCGGACAACTTTAGTCCGGATGACATTGAAATGGCGCTGGCGCTGTCCAAGTCGGAGTGTGAGAAGCAGGGACGCCTGCGCTTGCACGACGATGACGATGCAGTGGTTGACCTATTGGATGATGAAGAGCAGTCCACGGATAGAATACGGCGGAAGCTGCAGAAGTATGGCTTCCGCACAGCCGCCAAAGAAGGTAAGTAAAGAGATAAAGTTTACACCGTACGACTATACATTCGTTTATCCCAATTTAGATTATAAATCTCTGGCGGTTCTGCCTGTGGTGGCCGCAAAAGGAGGTAGGCGTGGCAAGTGGGCCAATAAGTTCACTGCCCTAACATTAAGAAATCCGGTTGTGCAACAGAAGAAGCTTGACGAGAAAGTGTCCGCATTGCTGGCCCAAAAAGTGCGCGCCAAGGAACCGAAGGGCAAGGACTGTTCCTTGCCACCTTACACTGTGATCTCCGCAGCTCTTCAGGAACTCAGAGCCACCAGTGAATCTCGAATCGTTCGAGAACCAAGCGAGGGGCCCATAGATGACCTAAGATTATACTACGTAACAGATTTGTTTGAAGTTAGTGAAACGCCTGCACACCATCTTTTGAAGAATTGGGCTGCGATACAGGGGAGGGATTTTTCTCCTGAGCGGGAGACCCAAAAATGCCGCCAGCTGAGGCAACAACATGAACTTGTGTACGCTGAGTTGGAAAGGCATTTCGGGAATACACAGAAGTTGGAACAGAAGGTGATAAAGGAACTGGATGAATTGGAAAAACTGGTGGCAGAAAACATGATCGAAGAGGAATCCCTAGTGATAAATGTCGTGGAGGCAGAAACATGCTTGACTAGTAGCAGTCCATCTAAAGAGCCGCCGGATAAGCGACCAAAAATGTCAGTTGAAGATAAAGAAAACCTGCTGCCCACAGCCTCAAAAGCCAATTTAAGTGTTCCTACCCAGTTAACCCGCTGCACCTCGCCGGATCTCTTTGCGGATTCCGAAGATGAGCCGGATATTGTAACGACTGCTAGTTCTAACGAGCCGGAAGATATTAGGAATCTTTCAATAAAGGTCTACAAGAATGTAAGCCCATGCGAGCGATCATCTCCGGTCAAGGAAATAGAAATTATATCCAGCAACGATGAGCCTTCTCAAATAACCACGTATGAAGTGTTTTCCAGTTCCAGCGACGAAGGTGAGCATATTCATTTATGTAGACAGCATAACTCTAAAGAGTATTTCAACTTGCTTTCAGTAAAGACTGTTTCCAACGCTATGCTGGAGAAGATTTCTTTTGATGGTAAGTGAGGGAGGAAATGTTCGCAACCGAAAACTCATTCTTATTTTATTTACAGACAAACCGATAGACGACTTTATAGACCTAACACAAGAGTTCGAAATGGCGGCATTCAATGAGTCGAAGCCTAGAACCCCAAGTTTAAATGCATCATCTGAAACAGATTCCAATGTGGACAACCTAATTGGTAACACACTAGATTTCAGTTCCCAAAAGGTTAGTTGTGTCATTTCCAAGGAATTGTACCAAAAGTATGCCGAGGTGGATACATTTCCTGTGTGGAGTGCAGCAGAAGAGGAGAATAAAGTCGAATTTTCATCAAGCATGGAAATAGATTTGAAGAGCTCCGAGCAGTCGTCGCCTCATCTCGGCATATTAACCACTCCAAACGACACTGAACGGAGTTCAAGCTTCAGTGACTTGAACTTCTCGAGGTGCTCCTTTCAAAGGAGTGTTAGTCTATCAACGGATCTCGGTTTCAAAAGCCCGCTAAACTGGAAAACAAACGTATCGGTTGAGAAGAGGGTATCGCCTGCAGCTTCTCCTTATAAACAGTCGGATGCAAGTGTGGATTTAACCCAGAACAGCGATGATGAAGACGATGCGATTATGCTCTCCGACGAGGAAATCAATTACTCCATATGGAAGGCCAATAAGACCGCAAAGGACCTGGATATTGGGGACGATAGCTCAGACAGTTGCTTTGCATCTCCGGTATCGAAAAGGCGAGCTGTCCCAAAGTTCCAAACCGAGGAGGATTTAGATGCCTTTCTGATGGCCTTTTCCACGACTGCCAATGGATCGCAAAGTTCGCATTCACCCAACAAAAGCGCCCTTAGCAAGGAGCGTGCTGAGTTTGGAATCCTGGATGCTGCTCCGTCTCAACCCTTCAGCCTCTCCGAATTCGAGAATCCCGTCAGCGAAGCGAAGTCATCGGATAACGAAATCAACTGGGCAGAAGCATCATTTTTGGATGCACCAGTAAAACCCTTGGCTCGCAGGAGCAGCCACAAATTTAATGAACTCTTGGCGAAAATAAGCAAACCTGAGCATAATTCCGATGATGACTTTGACGAATTCGATCAGATGGTTTTCCAAAGCACAAAGGAGGCCGCCACTGCTGGCGAAACCAATGACATGCCTCGCGGACTGGACCTTTTGTTAAAGGGGGAGATAAAAACCACAGCGATCCCAGTGCCAAGTGCTCCAAGCGACCAATCTCCACTTGTGCCGGAGCAAGTAGATGTAGATGGTTATGTCTACACCGTGCGTGTTTGCCACACACCCAAGCCAGATTTCGCGACCCTTTCGGAAGCGGAGATCCTCCAGCAGCTCTACAAGTACGGTATTAAGCCACTGAAACACAAGCAGGCCGTAAAAATGTTAGAATTCATCTACAATCAAACGCATCCCACAATGAAGACGGCTGCTGTCCAGGACTTGCCAACCAGATCACAGCCAATTGGGCGTTCCAAATCAACACCTGTGATTATGGAGGGGCCACATTCGAAGGTAACCAAGTCAACCACTAAAACTCCTGCGACGGCAACTGAGCCGAAAAAGGATTTCAAGTTCAATGATGGTACGGGCGAGGAACTGCTGCGCTTTTCCCAATCACTGCCCCCGAGTCTTTGTGACGACTTCGAGACCTTTGTCATGCAAACGAACGTTACCAAGAAGACTGCACAGCCGCTGGTGCCACTACACATCGCCTGGCACAATCTCCTCTGCGCCAATCCGCAGCTGCACGAAAGTGTGCTCATGTACGAGCCCATTGATTTGCAGGCGGTCTACTTGCACTTCAAGCACCTGGGCCACCGATACGATCCAAAGGACTTGAAGACCTTCTTTGACCGGCGTTGCATTATCTTTCGCTATGAATTGGGTGCACCCGGCAAGCAGGCGGAGCATCATGTGCGGAGGCACCACAGAAAGCAGCCTAAGAGAAATTAGGTTCTATTATCCATTATTTGCAACTCAAGTTATGGAATTTCCTTGTAGCTATACCCTCGAATGCATTGAATTATGTTCTAGTATTACCTTAAAATGAAGTATTGAATAAGAAATTGTTATTTGGCATTTTGCGATTGAAATTTATTATATGTGAAATTTATAAAACTCATATATTCTTATTTGGCATTCCGGTTATCCTCTAGCATGTATCCATTGAATAAAAAACGAACTTTCATTATTCTTGGGGCCGTAGATTTATTTGATGCAACTTCAAAATACAATATTACAAAACTAATGGACGAATACAAATGTATAGAGTTTGCATACACTATTGTAGATACAAGACACTGATACGAATAGAATATTGGACAACAATAAATGCAGCATCTGTGGACAGACTACCCCAGGAAGGGTATTAAATGTAAATATAGTTCGATCTTACGGCGCTAGAAAAGACACTTGGACGGTATAATTTTCTCACGAGTCTCTACGTGGAAGGCACATTGTCAGATTGCGATTAATGGAATGGAACGGCTCGAACGAAACTAGTTCCTAATGAAGCTATTTGTACTGCATGCAAAATTGATATGGTTGGTGGGTGCAGACTATAGTGGGTTAGTGGGCTCTTACAGAAGCTAGGATTAGTTAGGGGAGATATATAAGTAGCAATTCGTAGCATTGCAATATGTAAATTAAACGCAGGGGTGTCCAAGGAATCTCTAACAATTTTATAGTTGAGAAACTATTTCTTCACCGTCCACTCTGGCATTGGTTACTGAAAGCTGAAGAGGAATGAATATTGGTTGAAGGAAATTCCTAGGACACCCCTAAACAAGATTAGGCATAGCTAATCTCATGCTCGTACGTCTTTCCCCGCAGGTCATCATCATCCGGCAGCGCATGGTGGCGCAAACCGCACAAACGCGGTCCATAGCGCAGCATGACAATAATAACGCCCACGATGAACAGGGCGACGGCGGCCACGGCGGGATAAAGGAAGTAAAGAGCCATTGCTACTTAGATGTCGCTCTCGCGCTTCTGCAACTCCACGTATTCCTCGCGCTGGCGTTGCTGGTGTAGAGTGCGACCTTCTGGGCGTGGTGGACGCTGGTGCTGCTGCTGGTGATGATGATGCGCCGAGTGCACGGGTTCCAAGTCGTCAACGCCTATGACAACGTCGTCGGGGAACACTTGCTGATGGGTTGTGGGCTAGAAGACATATGCATACATACATAAGTTTCAATAGAGCCAAACAATAAGCAACGATGTTTTGGGCTCTGAAAAAAAAAAAAAAAAACTCACATGGAAACGCTGGAAGTAGGAGGCGTCCTTCAGTTCAGTGAAGTCCAATGGCGGCTGATTGTGGGGCGTGGCGGACCAAATGGAGACCAGCCAGCGATTACCCGTGTGCCTGTCCTGCCAGTACTTGCGATGCTTGGAGCAGCAGCCCAAGATAATGTTCAGTATAATGATCGAGCCCAGGACAACGGTGCAGATGGCAATGGTCACATAAAACGGCGAGAAGTTGCCGTAGATGTGGCCGGTGAAGTAGGGATTCTTTTCGTACGCCTTGCGTTCCTCTTCGATTGTGGACATAGTCTTTTAGGGGTGTGGTACTTGAAGGAGCCTCAATAGCCTGCTGCACAATGCTCAATGGTCTGAAAGGCGGAGGGGAAGTGGGTACGCAATGAGAAAGCGGTTCAACCACCACGCTGCATGCAACTTGCACCCCGAAGCCACTTGCCACCGATTCCAATTTGTCACATTGGGCGTGGCGTCACCAAAGAAATCAAACTAGCAGCACCTGCAACTGCCGACTTTGCAGCTAAGATGTGCAGTGCACTTACCATTTGCGCGCGATTGGTGGTCACTGAGATTGGCACAAGTCCCATTCAGGTGTGTTACCTACTTAAGGTCGTAAAAGTATTCAATTTCAGCCACTCTGCTGCTACGAAAACAACGCCCAAAAGCCAGGCTCAGTATGTTAGTGATGGCAATTAGTGGTTTCGCCGCATGGTTGCAAGCGATCGATAACAATTTATCGATCGAAAATGCGGCTGTGTAAATCGTTTATTGCATACATTTAGGCAGTACTTTTTTCATACGTCAAATTAAACAATGAGTAATTTCAAGAACTTTCTTTAATTTTGAATAACACTTGAATGCAAATGTTACTGTTCTAATACCAAATGTACACGGCTATAACAATTGATCGTACTAAACGCCCGACAAGTATGATAAACGAGATTATTCTATATTTTCAAAATAAATGCGACCGAAAGAAGAAGTTAAATTCATTGCATGAGAACTGGCATATTAAAACCCACTATTGTAAACAAATTAAATGCCGCGTCTGCGTACCGCTTGTAACAAAATCGCATTTTCTTATCAACTATTACAGGTTCCGAAGCAATCCTAACTCAAAAACAATCCACCTATTCAATAACCGATTCCATTTAGCCCGATCACTGGTCGTAGGTCAGGAAGTTATCCAGCCCGGTAAACTGGCGCGCCAGAGCTCGACCATCGTCGGTGGGCGTGCTGAAGGCGATGTCCTCCCTGGCGATCTCCTGACCGAGGATCGTGTGGCACTGGACGACTCGCAGCAGCTTGCTGGCGATCCCGCTGCGTCGCTGCAACGGGGAGACCCAGATGCGTGACACGCCGCAACTGAAAGAGGGCATAGTTCAGCTGTTGACAAAGCAAGGGGCATACAGAAAGGGATTCTCACCTGGCCGGGTAGCTTTCCTCACTGAAGTAGTCCGTGCCATCGACCTGGATGAAACGATGGGCCTGCCTCAGGGGCTGCACCAGGCAGAAACCCACGATTTTCTGCTTTTGCACTGCTATGAAGGCCACAAAGATCTTTGGCACAATGTACGAGGAGTAGCCCAGCTCTTTGTCCACCACACCAATGAGATCCCGCAGTCTGTCGAGGCGAGCTGGCGGAGCCCGCTCGTTGATCCGTATGATGCGGCCGTCGCTGGCCCACTCCGGATAAACGGACACAATGTCCTCGTCGATCCAGCCCTTGAATCGCAGCACATGGATGGAGTTGTGGTACTCCCGATGCAGCAGCTCCTCCTCCGGTTCGTGCACAGTGTACACCAGTCCGCACTGCTGGCACTGTCGCGCTCCGAAGGCCTTTTGACCAGCATCGATCTGGTACTGATTCGAGCCTCCAGCCGCCGAAAGCAATCGCACCGATGTAGCCGGACGACGACGCATCGATTTCTGGACAACGGGCTGTAGGCGTTGAGTAAATATGGGAAATAGCTTTGGTTGAACTTCCTCTGTTGCTGGAGGATCCTGCTGTGGTGCAACAATCACCGCTTCCATCTGAGCAGGCTGCGCAGCCTCCTCGCTGTTTACCACCATGTACAATTCGTCCACAATTTGATTGGCCTCGTCCTTGTAGTCGTCCGGATTGGCAATGAAAATCTGAAAGTTCTTTTCGGTGCAAATATTGTTGCTAATGAGAAACTCTAGCAAGATTTCCTGCTGCTCTACGACTTCGGGATCATTGGTTTCGTATGGCAAACGTTGACGGAATTCAGCAAATGGATCAATTTCCACATCATTCGTTTCTGGTGCATATTCAATTATTTCCGGCAGCGGATCCGTTTCCATGGCAGTTTCTTCAGAATCCATAGACGTTGCCTGTGCCACCGGATTCGCTTCAACAATCTCATCAACCACCGTGTCGTCCAGGTTCTTCAGGATCGCATCCACAGTGGCTTGCTCGGCTGAAAATATAGTGGCCGACTTGACGCGCACTTGCCGCGGCTTACGGCGTGTAGTTTGGACGAGGGCAATCTTGCCCTGGCTGACACTGGCCCGGATGTTGTCCGTGATTCTCACCTCCATGCAGGCGCTGCTTCGCTGGCCCGATTTAAAGAACTTCCGCTTACTAAGATCGGCTGGCTCGGCGGTTGGCGATTTCTGAATCGGCTCGTGGCGAATTATCGGTATGATGGGCTCCATTTCGATGACGGGGTCAATATCTTCATCCTCACTAAGGTCAGAGAAGTCGCCTGACGTTTCTTGCCATGCGGTTTCTGGCACACTGTTATTATTGTTAGCATCGTCGGCTCCAATCACACTCAATGGTTTGGCCATTTTGATCGGGTCCTTGGCACTACGCAGGATCTGATGGACTTTCTCCACTTTGGCGCGCTCCTCACGCTTGGTGGCGATCAGCTTCTTAAGCCGTTCGTTGGTCAGCGAGTTGATAATGTTGTCCAAATCGGTGGGTGGCAATCGAGAGGCGAATCCGTGGCGCTTACGTATTTTGTGGTGAACACCTCTATTAATGCCCAATGGTGGACGGGAGCTTGGCGACATCGTTGGATGCTTTAGCATGTTCTTGGATGCGGACGGCCATCTTCTCGACTTTGTGACAGTGCCTCCACTGTGGGAATAGAAGGCCATGGTGGGAATGCTGCTACTCAGCGTCATCTTGCGCATCTTGCTCTGCGGCGATCCATAGTCGGACTCCGCTGAGGGAGCAGTGTGGTTGGACGTTTCAGAGTGCAATCGCTTTGGGGGCTTACGATTGGGTGCTTCCTCGTCCGATTCGAACACTTCGACATCAATCTTCATACTGCCTATTGGGTTCTCTGTGATCTTTGCTGTGGCTTCTCCAGGGGATTTCGCTTTTTCATTGATGGTCTTTACTGGGTTTTGTTTTGTGGTTTCATCGTTATTGGACTTGAACACTTCTACTGGGGATTTGGTTATTCCTCTGCTGTTTTCTAGCTTAACTGCTGCTGTTTCAATATCTCGGTTTTCGTCGTCATCCGACGTCATGTTCTCGCTATCCGTTTTAATTACAGGTACCTGGACAGCAGCCTTCAGACTGTTGCTGTTTATTTCCTCCGAGTTTCTTCGCCTATTCCTTGTTTTTGGACTGATGATCTGCGGTATATTTGCTTCGCGTACTTCTGTACTCTTCCTGAAGTTCTTACTACTAGAGGGTTTTTCGTCGTCTTCGAACTCTTCAGCTGGGCTCGTTTTCTTGAGTTTAGTTGTATGCACTTGGGCAGTGGTCTTTTGGTTATTGTTGTGTTTTTTCTGTGATTTTTCTAACCCAGATCTTGGAGCCTGTCCAGTATGAAATGAGTTTGCCGGAGAAAACGCATCAGGATCCTTCTGCGCACTGGAGGTTCGTGGACTGCGTCTGAGGCTGGTTCTGGCCCTCGGAGAAGGAGTTCCTTCGGAGGAGCATGTGGGCGATGACATTGAAGAATCCGCTCGCTTTCGCGGGCTGCTGGTGGGACTGTTGCTGCTGCTGCTGCTCTTGCTATTCAGCTGCATGGTGGCTGTAAACAATTGAGGCAGTTGCTCCGCCGTGGCTGTCACGACTCCACGGGATTTCTTGTTCTCCTTGTTGGTTTCCGGGCTGCTGTTGGCACTGCTGCTCGACTTGCCGGCCCCCGCAGCGAAGAGGCTCTTTCTCTGCCTGTTGGCCGCCACATGGGTGTTCAGGGGCAAGACACCCAGACTTGCTACGTCCCCATCATCCTCGTCGTCGTTGATCTGGCGCAGCCTGGATACCGGACTGCCGAAGAGCTGCCGCTTGCGCTCGGACAGACGCGGGGTGGCTATGCGACCTGGACGGCGACTACCCGTCGGGGTCTCCATGATCGCGCGCAAATCTTATATTTCGCTTAACTTTGTACAAATTGTGACTCCTTCGCGCTTTTTTGTAGCTGCCCAGTGTTGGGGGTGGTTGGATCGATCGAGGTCTCTGCGGACGTTTGTCAACACTTATCAGCTGCTTGGAGATCCACAGCGATCACACTTACTATGTGGTTTACAGCAATGTTAAAATATTAAATACATTTCAATCAAACTGTTTTGTAATAAATATAATTTTTCCCCTAACACTTTATACTGTAGTGCTTGAAATATTAAATACATTGCAATCAAAATATTTTGTAATAAATATAATTTTTTTCACCACATTTTATACTGTGCATTTTTCCTTAAAGCAATCAAGTTATCCATTTTTAGTAGAACATTTGTAGATGGATATGACCGATTTTGTTTCGTGTGAAATAAGTAAATTGATTTGTTGATCCAAATCAATGTATTGAAAATAGTATTACTTACTATGTGATTTACAGCAACTTTTAAAATATTAAATACATTGCAATCAAAATGTTTTGTAATAAATATAATGTTTGCCACCACATTTTATACTGTACTGCTTAAAATATTAAATACATTGCAATCAAAATATTTTGTAATAAATATATTTTTTCCCACCACATTTTATAATGTGCGTTTTTCCTTAAAGCAATCAAGTTAGTTATTAATTTTAAGTAGAACATTTGTAGATGGATATGGCCTATTTTTTCGGCCAAAATATGGAACGAAAGGAAACCAATTTGTTGATCCAAAACAATGTATTGAATATAGTATTAATTAATGCGTCTAGCGATTATGATTGTATCGCTTGATTTTATGTGCGTTTTTCCGAATCATCATATTTTTCTCAGATATTATCTTTATGTTAACTAACCGATCGTTTTACAGAGTCAAAGCGACCAACTTTCGTTGGTATTTCCACCGAAATGATATCTGGTCACATTTCTCCAGACGTCAAACGGTCATACTGCAGCAAGGAACAGAATCGATTTGGAAAATTCTGCTAAAAGGCAGAAAATACAGAAAGTATAGAGCTGTGCGATAAAATTTTAATTTGCAGCCCAACCCCGCCGCCGATCAGGTAAGTCAGCCCCCTTCATTATCCGTACCGCATCTGAAAGCCACGCCAACGAAAGCAACGAGAACCGTGAGAAAATCTTAACTCTAGCCGCCGCCATCTTTTTTTTATGTATGCGTTTGGCCAACGCCAATAATAAGAAATCAAATCGAATTTATAGAGACTAATGGTAAATCGCGCTCCTTGTGCTGCTGCCTGAATGTTTACCCTTTGCTCGTAATAGTTAAAAAAGAAACAATTGCACTGTCTTCTCTCTTCTCTTGAGGTATCGCGTTTATTCGCCGCCGCAGTCGTCGCTCAAACGCGGTATATGCATACAAGCATATAGACATACATATATATATATTACCGACGCAGCCGCCGCCGCCGCCGCGTAGATATTCATTTTCCGGGATTACCCCACCCAGAGTGATATAAACGATATAACCGTGGACGACCACGCTGCGGAACCCGCTGCCGCCATGCCCGGAGCCGGCACGTTCAAGTTATTCATCGGGAATCTCGACGAGAAGACGCAGGCCACCGAGCTGCGGGCCCTCTTCGAGAAGTACGGTACCGTCGTCGAGTGCGACGTGGTGAAGAACTATGGCTTCGTTCACATGGAGACGGAGCAGCAGGGTCGCGATGCCATACAGAATCTGAACGGTTATACGCTGAACGAGTTCGCCATCAAGGTGGAGGCGGCCAAGAGCCGGCGGGCGCCCAATACACCGACCACGAAAATCTTCGTGGGAAATCTAACGGACAAGACTCGGGCGCCGGAGGTGCGGGAACTGTTTCAGAAATACGGCACCGTCGTCGAATGCGACATTGTACGCAACTATGGTTTTGTCCATCTGGACTGTGTCGGTGATGTGCAGGACGCCATTAAGGAGCTGAACGGTCGCGTCGTCGATGGCCAGCCGCTCAAGGTTCAAGTGTCGACCAGTCGGGTCCGGCCCAAGCCGGGCATGGGCGATCCGGAGCAGTGCTATCGGTGCGGAAGATCCGGGCATTGGTCGAAAGAGTGTCCGCGACTGTACGGCAGTGCCGGAGGCGGACGCGAGCCGCCATCGCCCCTCAGTGCCGGCAGCTACAGAGATCGCATGTACGGTCGTGACCCGTATCCGCCGCCACCACCCCCGCCGCCGTTCCTGCGTGACCGCATCATGGATGGCTTTAGGGTAAATTCAGCATCCATTTGCCCCCCGATCAATTCATCCACTGCCCATGTATCATTCACTTTCTGTGCTGCTACTAATCTTATCCTTGTTTTCCCACCCGCAGGACTATGACTACTATGACCGCCGCTTCGAGGACTCGCGCGATCTGTACGAGCGTCGCTATCAGACCTCGCGAATGCGCGACTTCCCACCGCCGCCCATCTCTCGCCGCGAACCAATGCCTCTACCGCCCACCTTAAGCGGTAGTCTGCGCTCCTGCAGCGTTTCTCGTGGATACGACACTATGTTCAGTCGGCGCTCGCCGCCTCCGCCGCGTAGCAGCAATGGAATGAGTCGCTACGGGTAGGTACCACATCATGTTAATTCTTATTCGATGATTAAGGCTTTAATTATTTGATAGTTAGGCTCTTGAAAGTGCTTTATATGCTTGTTCTTCAGTTCTTCACATATCTTCATTTTGAAATCAGTATTTAATGAGTACTTTTCTTCCCTTTCAGCTCCCCCACTCCACACGTTTACGAGGACTTTAGTCGCGATGCATTCGACGAACGCATGATTTCGTCGCGCGGAATGCGTGGTCCATCGCCTCCGGGTCGCCGATATGCGCCCTACTGAGATGAGTTTTACTATCACGGCAGCAGCTGAGTACCGGTTGCACTACCCATGCATATGTCCATGTCCCTAGCCATGGGCCACACTGTCTACCATACTCCCAGCAACCGAAGGACGGCGCATGGGGACTGCTGGCTGCTCTGCTGGTCGCCAGCGGCCTACTACCATCAAGCACACCAACAGCACATGCTGATGCCGACAACAATTTCACAACTGTGGGTGCCGCCTTGGTAAACCACACGTATTTTACTAAGCCTAAACCACCATACTAACCACAATTCGTACACTTAAACAAGAAGATGGAAACACGTATCGAAGCATCCTCCTTATACGCAAACTATGCCTAAAAGACTAGACAACGACATGCCCTTACACACATTCATCCGTAGTACCAATAAAGGGGCATAAGCAGTCGAAACTATGCAAAAATAAACATGTATTTTAAAGCTAGTTTAAGGGGCAGTATTGCAACGGTGTGTCTTAGATCTACTGGCGCTCCCTTCGTGACGTTAAATGGAGTGCTGGCTGCCGTTCTCGTCCAATTTGCTACCTTTGTGCTTGTTCAGTTCTTGCAGCTCCACAGGTGTGGCCTTCTCAAATGTTGGTGGGATTAGTAAGCGGCTGCAAAGATACGATGTTACTTCTTGTGTTACTTCGTACCACCAAAAACAAGCTTACTTGCTGCACTGTAGCCAAAACATGGAAACCAGCATCATGGCCGAAGTAACGCCGAAGGTCCAGAATGTGCCCAGGCGCGTGTAGATAGATCCCACGAAGACAGGACCAAGGACGCGGGACAGACAACCTGAACCGGTCATCCAGCCCATCCAGACGCCCTGCGGCCGGGGACCCAGAACTTTGGAGAATATGGTCTGGATGAGTGTCACGCCAATAGGATATCCTATCGAGGTGAAGGCAAATCCAATGATGAACTGCGTCAGGGTCAATGCCGGCAGTTCGCCGCACCATTTCTGCGTTGTGGGGCAGCCCAAGAAGATGGGATCGCTTTCGCTCAGATTCCAGCTGGCGTTGAAAGGCTGCGCCAGCTTTGGCGGATCCGGACCCCAAGGCACGAAGAGCACGCGTCCGAGAAACATGAGCGAGAATCCGCCCCAGATGAGCACATACCGCTCGGCAATAATCTTGCACATGGGCTCAATCAAAACGAACGTGATCAGGGACACAATAGCTGCGGTGGTCATCATGATGCCCATGTACCAGAGGGCTTCGTCATTGGACCAAGCGAACATATCCATTGTCAGGGATGTGCCCAGTCTGCAAGGCGCGGAGTCAATCCCATAAAGCTCTCAAGAATCCATTCTGTAGAATACTCACGTCTCCAGCAGCACAAAGTTGAATACCAGAACAAAGAAGGCGACGATCAAAGTCCATGCGGACAGATAGCTTGGCTTGATGCCTTTCCAAGTCTCCTTCTCGGATGTGCCGCCCTGCATTACCATCACCTCGCGAGCTGCGATTTTGTGCTCCTGCAGAAATGTTCAAATTTGAAACCACTTTTAAGTGCAAACAAAGTAAGGTGAGTAGCCCACCTCAAACACACCGGGCAGGAACATCAAGAAGTTTCCAATGCTCATCAGCACATTGATCCATCCGGATGCCGTGTACATGTTGAAGTGCATCTTGCCCCACAGCCAAACGTGCCCCTGATCTCCTAGCGGCGTGACTGCCGCCTGCAGGGTCGGTCCAATGATGAAGCCCAGGACCTGAGCCAGCGAAACCATTGCAACGGCATGGGTGCGTTCGCTGATTCGCGTCGCGGCGGACAAATACGACCGGCACAGGGCAATATTCGCCGAGCTGACACCGATGAGGAACCGCGAGGAGAGCATCCAGTACTTGACATGGTCTGGACGCAGCTCCAGCGAGGAGTATATTCCACTGGCCAGCGTGAATAGCGACAGCGAAAGCAGCAGCGGCAGACGAATCTTGCCTAGCTTGTTGCCCCACCAGCCGAAGATCGGGCTGAAGATCATTTGCCCCAGCGGATTGGCGGCCACAATGAGGCCCATGAACTCCTTGCCCGCATCGGGATCTAGCTGAAGAGAGATGGGATTGAAAAGCAGCTGGATAATGTGGCCAAATGGGTACGCACCTTGTTGAGGTAGGGCCAAATGCCTGTGAGAATGATGCTGAAGCCCAGCGCCATCAGAAACATGGTAAAGTAGATGATGCGAACGGAGCGCCAGCGCTGCTTGTACTCCTCCAGCGTCTCCAGGCCATCGTCCACATCCTCCGGCAGTCTTTTGGTTTCGAAGCGAGCGGACACTCGGCGAGCAAACTCCATGGCTGATTTGCTTGGCTGATTTGTGTGATGTTTGATGGGTGGTGGGCGGGTTGATTGCGATGGATGCGTCTGCTGGATTTCACCGCCACTGAGTCATTCTGTAACTGGATGCGAATGAGTTTTTGGACTTTTGTGAATGAATGTGTCAAGTTTCATTTTATCTCTGATAACTATGGAAAACTGTTACAAGCTGACCAACTAATATGTATAAACCTTTGTGCAATAGGAGGAGCAGGATAACTAAGTCAATGAACTGATCAGAGTAGAGTAGAGTATATCTAAGCTTAGATAACTAAGCTCAATGAACTGATCAGAGTAGAGTATATCCCTAGCACTTGAATATGGAGTGGATTATCTGCCAACCGTCGCGTGATTATCATCCTCCGAAGAACCGGCGGTATGGAAAACAGTTGGTTGAACTTATCACAGAAATGACGAAAGATAAAGGCAATCGGCGCCGAAGTAAAGCCATATTCAGCTGCTTGTAGCTATCCGTTGCCATGTGAGGGTGTTTGTGGTGCGTTTTTCTTTAGTAACAGCCACTATCACCTCGGGCACGCCGTTGCTTTTGTTTATATGGCATGATAAGCTTCGAACACAGCGTCAGTTTATTACATGATTTCATTTATCAGAGAGAGCGAAAGAAATTGATTCGCCAGTACAGGGTGCGAAAGAAAAACACTCGGTTTAAACTTTAGTTTTCGATAGTGCAACAAGTGCAGTGATTAGCCATATCAATCAGACTTGTCTACTTCCTACATCGTTTCTCAATGGCAAATCACGCCTTCGTAAATCGATTGCTGATTGAATATACCAATTGCCAATTGATGCACAAGTTTGTTTGGTTTTCTATTTTTTGTGGAGAGCCAGATTCTCGTTCTCCAAGCACGCACACATGCATCTTTCAGATACAAGTTACTAGATATAAGATAGCGACCGTTGATCTTTGGCTGCCTTTGTTTTTTTCGATACTTTGCCCTTGCACTCTCTTCTTTGATTTCAAATTATTTAGCATTCGAAATAATTATTTGGCCCGCCATCTACTGTTTACTAAGTTGTTTTTTTCTTCACACATTGTAGCACAAGTATTAAAGTGAAACATGCACTCTTTGTTTTTTAAATGACTCTTTCTTTGTTTCACTCTCACCGCTCTTCCTCGATTTTTGTAATGTTTAACCAACCGCACAGAAAGCGCGTTTCTCCGCAATCTCTCCGATGCCAATGGCTATATCTGTATCTGTATCTATGTACATGTATCTTTCTGTGCGGCTAGAGCTCAAAGGCACCCCCCACCGCGGCTTCTCTCCTCGCAATCCCTTTGTGGGGCTTCGAGCGGGTAATGCACCTTTTACCAATCGGGTGCGGTGGTTCAGTGGTTCCGTGGCCTCAGTTCAGCCAACTACCTGTTGCAGCGGAACAGCGACAACCACTGAATAGGAACGGTCGCGTCGAACTGAGCTGAAGACGCGGCAGCGCCTGTTGCCAACAAACCGGACGACGCGTCGCCACAGAGCGGCATGGAGCTGCCCAGAGAGAGAGGAGTCCACGGCAGATAACGCCCGCGCCCGAAAGTATGCTACTGAGATACTCTGTGCGGTATGTTATCCATTAGATGGATCGCAAGGGCTTTCTATTCAGGGTATTAGTTTTAAGCATAGTTAGTAACTTGTAATTAATCCACAATCTATTGACTATTTTGAATGGATTAGGAAACCATTACGGCTTCCTAAAACTATCATTATAATGAGCTTGTTCTACTATACTGTACAGTTGAAGTAAAAGTAGTTGTAGCTATTCGAGATCCCATAATAATAGTACTTTACTTGAACACTGCCGAATTCGCTGCTACTGCAGAACACTAGAATGTGCAAGTTTATTTTTTGAGAGCCCAAAATGCCTTATAAATATACAACAAAGGATTATAATAAATGAAGTGAAAGTAAATTGGAGGGCGGAGTGCCTCTACAGATTTCCCTGTGCCTGCTGCAGGCGCATCAGTCGCCGCTGCCTTAGCCAGGGCAGCAGAAGACCACCTGGACGCTGTACGGGAAGTGGAACGCGTGGGACAAGGTCCATTGGGGCGGCAAGGGTGACGGCTTCGGGAATGATCTCATTACGCCGGAAACCACGGACGGCGGCACTTGGCCTGCGGGGCGCACGATCCTCAGCCTGGAGATCGTTTTTCGGCGGCAAGTCCTCGTTCCGCATATTCAGGCTGAAGACATCCCCAGTGCGTGGATCGGAGGACAGATGACTCACAGTATCCTGGAGCACCTTGGGTATACGCTCCACCACCTGCAGGGCATCGCGAAGTGGCCGAATCTCTCGCTCCGGTTCTCTGCGCGACTGCTCCTTGGACGCCTTGCTCTTGGTGCTCTTTCGGAACAACGAACTCTTCTTGTTCTTCCGGGTGAGCTGCTCCTTCTTAAGGGGAGCGGGGCGGGTCAGTCGCGCAGCAGCCTGCTCCAGGAACCATGGCTCCCGACGAGCCGGCTCGTCCAGCTCAGCCTGACGCTTAAATGCCGATGGCTTGGCTGATGCACGCTGCTGCTTTTGGGCTCTAGTGCCCAAGGGCGAGGGGCGCACCAAGGAACTGGCAAAGTCATTGAACCACTCCAGGTGCTCGACGGATCTCTTGTGCCTAATCTGCTCCGATGCCTTGGATGGCTTTTCCAAGGCATTGACAGTACGTTGATTGGCCGACTTAGCGGAGGGCTTGTAGATGGTTATGTTTGAGCGACGATTTCGAGGCGACTGATTCGAAGCGGAGGCGCTCCTGGCCAGCAGATCCCGCTTCTGCTCAAACTGCTGGGCGTTGCGCACAAAGCGATTGCTGCTCGGTCCCTGGATGACTATTTCGAATGGGAGATTCAACGTCTTGGCATTCATCTGCATGGTGCGGATGCACTCCGTATCGGAGTGGTCGTCATTACACTCGCACAGGCACTCCTCGCCGCAGTAGAAACCCAGGCAGCCGCAATGCTCACACAGCGCCTTGCAGTTCTTCTCGAGCTTCGACTCCGTGAGGGGATTCACATTGCGACTAGATTTCGTGGAGGTGGCCACTGTAGACGGCGCTTTGGTCGTCGTGCTGGACACTACACTTGCTTGGAACTGGATGGCCGCCAGTAGAAGTATCACCGTATAGCCACAGAGGCTGCTCTTCCGTATCTTTTCCGTCATCATTGTGGGTGCTCCAGTTCAAACTGTGTGGCCACTTGCGATGCGCAGTCGATTTTATAACGCTGACCAGGTGAAATTGTAGATGTTCGTGACTGACAGTTGATTCTAGCTTTCAGTTCGCCGGAATTTGTGCTGACTTCGTGTGATCTTGAGACATTTCCCAATTGGGTTCTCTAATTGAGTTCTTTGTGCCGATTTTTTTTGGCACACTTCGGCGTGCCAAGGCCGAATTCCCGCACTTGAACTTGTACCAGAACACACAAATCTTTGTTTACACCATTTATTACAAAAGAAACCAAAACAACGAGTTGCCACTGCAGTCATTAGCGGCGCTTGCCCTTTCCCTTCTTGCCGCCGCCACCACCACCCCCGGATCCGGATGCATTCGACTGTGGCTGCGACTGCTGATGGTACGAGTCGCCGGTTTTGTTCTGTCGCGTCTTCAGCTGCGGTATCTTGCTGGCGATATGCATCATGATGGACTCGCGCGTGGCGAAGTCACTGTTGTACAAAGTGCCATCGGCAACACGCAGCTGGACGCGCACACGACCACGGAACTCGAGCTCGTTGCTGTTCTCGCGACAGTACTTCTTGTTCTCCACTAGGAAGGGCAAGTTGGACACGGACAGCACGTCCCGGATCTCAATGTAGGTGGGATTGTCCACACAGTTCTCCTTGGGCAGCCGGCGGCCCTCCTGGCGTGTCCTTTTGCTGTTGATGTACGCGGGATATATGCAAATCCATCTGTGTTAGCAAACAAGAAGAGGAGTTACATGTGGGATCGAACTTTGTTTTTGTGGTCAGTGTCTGGTTCCTACCGCTCCATATCGCTGTGCTTCATGTTCGGGTTCCAGTTGCTTATCATGGGTACTGCTGCCGCCATTGTTGCAGGGAATTCCTTGTTAGTTTATTGCAAATTGAGTGTAATTTAGCTAAAGAGCTAGAAAGCTATTTTCCACGCAAGCAACCCAATTGGAATAGGGATGGCAAGTGCAGCAGGTCACGTAATCGATATTAGGCGATATCTTCTGGCTACTAAGTAATAGGACATTTAGAGGCAATTTTAAAATTTTAAAAAGTTTGATTAAAGGCATGCAAAAATTCAACATGTTATTTTTGATAAAATGTATTATTTAATTTACTTAACAATTAGGTACTGACGAGCTAGGCCTATTTATAATTTTTGGCTGTTTCCCGCCAATTCCACTAAGCTACATTTCTCATCCCTCGGTATATCGATAAAACTTTCAATCCTATCGATAGACAAATCGTCTTGCGACCGTCTCTAATATGCAGGCCGCGAAAGAACTTCAATAACAGTCTGTTTTTGGTCTCTCCGTGGTGTATTTGCCTTGAAGTCGAGCGGATAACGCGAAACCAAGTTGAAGCGACGAGTCGACGAAACGGCGGCCAACAATTCTAGTCACGCGTGTCGCGAAGCCAAGCGGTAAACAAAAAGCACACACCACACTGCAGTGCCCACCCACCCTTCACCCCCCGCGCAATAAAAACAACAAAAGCACACACGCAAGGCCACATTGGAGCATCAACAACAACAGCAACAACAACAACAATGGAAGAACTGAACAGCATATTACAGAAGACCAAAGATAAATCAACGCAAAAGGAGCAGGATGAGGTACTTATCCCACGGCTTCATCCTTCCAGGACCCCATGATGAACTTTGACATTTGAAAGTGGCACCCAACCAACTAACCAGCTATTTTGGCCTTCCGTTCTCCTTCTTTTCGTCCCACTTCATTTTCGGGTCTTATTTACATGTGGCCCACGCACGCAAACGCCATCCAGATTCTGCTGCAGCCCTTCACATACATACAACAGATTCCGGGCAAACAATTCCGCTCCGAGTTGGCCTTGGCCTTCAATCACTGGTTGCTCATACCGGGCGAAAAGTTGGCGCAGATCGGAGACATTGTGCAGATGCTGCACAATTCCAGTTTGCTGTGAGTATATCAATTATATAAAGTATACACTGGCGGTCAGATTAATAGGCCCTTTGCTGCACGCCAATATCTCAGCATGATACTTCAGACAATGCCGTGCTTTGCAATAGATGTTTATACATGCATGTATTGTCCCCTTCTATGGAAAACCCAAAACAATGTACTGACTAACTATCATATCAATATAAACAAAATATTTTACTTTTGTAGCCTGAGTAAACATATGCCTTTGAGAATCCATAGAAAATCTGTGCTAGTTTTATGAACGCATTAAATACCTGTCGATTTATTGCCAGGTATAACTAATCATGCTTGGCGAGCTTTACTTTTAAGTTTTGACCTTTGCCTACCCTCGTTCTTCTGCTCCCCATTACTTGGCTTTGTTTACGCTTTGTTTGTGCCCCGCCAAAACACCCGAACGTTTGACCCCCACCCCGTTCTAACCACTTCTCCTGCATGTTTTATCTCAATGCACACTTGCAGAGTCTGTATTTGTATACATTTAGCGTATTTGCTATTGTTCAAATGGTTTCCAGTTAAATGCCCAATCGAGTGTGAAGTTCTTTAGGCAAGTGATGAAAAGTAGGCACTCCACGCTCCAAAAAAAAATATAGAAATGCTGCCATATGCTCGTTGGGAAGTTCTTATCATCATCAGCAGTTCGTTTACATAAAGCGCATATGCTGTATGGAAGCTTGCTTTATCATTTGGACGGTGATTCATCCTCACTACTCTTTTACCCACTTGGATTTGACCATATGTATAATCTCGCACATTTTGTGGGTTATTTGGCCAGAGCGTTGTGCGCTGGCCTCAAATCAATTTCCAAATTTCATCATGAGCCCGCAGGTTTTTCTGTTTACAATAGAATTTCTTTGCAGGCCATTTCTCGAATTTGGAATCCGAAATTGCATAAATTATTTAGATTTTTCTCCGGGCGACCTACGTGGGGGAAAAGCGATGAATGAGATGGCGTAGCAACAAAACGTCGCAATTAAACTTTGAACTCAGCCAATTGAAGTGTCTGCCGCTTTTCAATTGAAGACATTAAACTGACTCGCAGTGTCCAGGGATTTTCGCCTATCTTCAGGCAGCAGTTAAGAAAGTATTCATGTCGCTCTCCAGCTAATCCCGTCTTGCCTCCGGCCTCCGGCCACCTGTCGCCATCCATACACAGACAAACACTTGGAACTGGCCTTAATTCTGCATAAAATCCCCAGCATTGTTCCTCGACAGCATTCTCATTGCCAGCAAGTGGCCTGCATGTTCTTGGTGTTCCTAGTTTTTCCTTTTTAGTAATGCATTTTCATATTGGCAAAAACCCTAGTAGTTCTACAACGACGCCTGCCGTTGCAGCCCCGACCCTCGTCCGTCCGTTCGTCATTCATGCACTTATGCCCATTGTCAGTTAGTCAGGCCGTCGCCAGTCGACAGGCATTGTCACAACTCTTGCCACGCAGCAGCAGCAGCGGCAGCAGTAGCACGCCCACTCGCCCATTTTCCCCCGTTCTCCGCCCTTTTTCCTCATTTTCCCCAACACCATCCAGCCTCCTTTGCACCCTAGCCCCATCCCATCCTTTCCCTAGCCCGGCCCCTTTGTGCGTTGTCGCTTCAACGCCCACGCCTTCATGCCATGCCATCCCATCCAATCCCATCCAATCCCGTCCCATACCATCCGTACCATCCGTATTCCCTACCAATGACTTTGCCAGCTTTGGCGGAGCGCAAACATTTTTTAATTACGCAAATGTTGGGCTGCCCAGCTCGTCTTACCCGCCGGGCATCGTAGTTATTGAAGCGATGGCGGCCTTTAAGCAAGGCTTAAATTTACACATCCATTATGGATGGAATGGGGGGCGCCACCGTATGTTTATAAATATGTATGCGGTTGATGGACACATGGATACGAGGCTCCCTTCGCTTGATACACGCTCGTATTGTGAAATTCTATTTAAAAGCCCATACTTTCCTATTCAGTACGTGTGCATGTGCTGCAATTCGGAATTAATTGGTTTACAAAAACATCTGCTGATTGGTAAATTATCGGATCTGAAAAGGGGTAATATATTTTCACTTGCTTGAGCAAATTTTCACTCTAACCGTCAACTTTACTGGTCAGAATTCCTGTTAATACATAAAACTTACACAGTTGCTTGGTAGGTAGCAAAATTGCGATTGTATGTGGATTGAAGTTAATGAGATGCCTGCAATTATATTAAGTTAGAAGTGCCCTTTACACAATTAACTCTCGGCTATTATAAACATATGTGTTCTTGATACTAACTTACAGCATTGATGATATTGAAGACAATTCGATCCTTCGCAGAGGTGTGCCCGTAGCGCATTCCATTTACGGCGTGGCCAGCACCATAAATGCGGCCAACTACGCACTGTTCCTGGCGCTGGAGAAGGTGCAGCAGCTGGATCATCCGGAGGTACGAACGAAATCGGAGCTCCAAACGACATTGTCGAGCTACAAGTAATCCGCATTTCTTGCAGGCCACCAAGGTGTACACCGAACAGTTGCTGGAGCTGCACCGAGGACAGGGCATGGAGATCTATTGGCGCGACAGCTTCACGTGTCCCTCGGAATCGGATTACAAGCTGATGACCGTGCGTAAGACTGGCGGCCTCTTCATGCTGGCCATTCGCCTGATGCAGCTGTTTAGCAACAACAAGGAGGACTATTCAAAGTTGACGGCTATATTGGGCCTGTACTTTCAGATACGCGACGATTATTGCAATCTGAGTCTGAAAGAGGTGAGTGCATGGATGAATGGTGGCAATATGCGTAAATCAGTTAATCATTGATGACACCTCCCTGTAGTACACGGAGAACAAGAGCTTTGCCGAAGACTTAACGGAAGGCAAGTTCGGCTTCCCAGTAATCCATGCGGTTCGCACCCAGAAGCAGGATAAACAGGTTTTACGTAAGTCCTACGTCTTGACCTCGCCCAAAGGCATTTCACTCATTAAGCTGGGGCTTATTGTGTTATATCCACAGACATATTACGCCAGCGCACGCACGACATTGAGGTCAAGAAGTACTGCATCACCTTGCTGGAAAAGCTGGGCAGCTTTCAGTATACACGCAAGGTTCTGGAGACGCTCGACGCGGAGGCGCGGGCGGAGGTTAGTACTTAGAGACAAGCAATGGCAACCAAATTTGCTTGGAAGCCAATTCAGGACCATCATTGGTCGCATAGTACATGTAACAAGTTTTGTGCCAAACTAATAAACTGTCAACCCACACAGGTGGCTCGTCTGGGCAGCAATCCCTACATGGACCGCCTCCTCAACAAGCTGCTGTCGTGGAAGACGAGCGATAGCGCCAGCATCACGCAATCGAACCAGATCAATCACAACAACGTCTCACGCAGCAGCCCCAACCAGAACACGCTCAATTGCAATTAGCAGCCAAAGAGGCAGAAGAGGGAGCAGTCGTGAATTGCGAACGGCATAGCCTCTTTTGCCGCCAATCCCAGACAGCAGCAGGCCAGCAGCCAGCCGACGCCTGCGTGCCTCAGTGCGCCCCTGTTGCGTTTCCTGCAGAAGCTGAAGCTGAAGATGTTCTGAGATTTATGTTACCCTTTGCCAACCGAAAAGCCCACAGAGAACCCTTTACTTTCAACCGAAACTGGAGCGATGAGAACGGGAATAGGAGGATTGGAATTGGATTGGAAAGTGAAATCGATGGGGATGGATAACAAAACCAACAGCAGCCTTACAGAAAATTGTTAAGCCAAAAGTAAATTGATATAAGCCAAGCTTATCGGTGAGCTAGCAAAGAGCCATAGCAAAGCTTTCCAAGAATTTGTTTATTTTTTTGTACTTTTTACTTTTATTTTAGTTTCGCTTTAAAGTTACGTAGTTAGTTGCGGGTCTACTATGGCAGTCGGCGGCTCGGTTAGTTACCCAGTTTTAGTTTTGCCCACCAAATGGAGTCATGCAAATCTCGCAGAGCATTACTGAATTATAGGATATGCGATATGCAATTTTTTAGCTCTTGTATTTCTAAGTGTGTTTCGTATTCGTAACTCGATTCTGCAAGCAATTTTCGATTTCTAAGTGTCATTTTAATCAAATCTAACTCACTCGGAACTCAATGTGCACTTCCTTTATCGACGTTGTTCCATTTTAATTGTTATACAAATACAATTCGTATACATACATATGTACTATTAACGACAAATTGTTCATGCAAAATCAACACAAGAGATAGCAACTATATATTGAAATAATGATAATGATGCACTGCACAGCAGGTTTTTGCACATTGCACCACCTAAAAAATATATACAAATATTATATATAAATATATATATTTTTATTGTAGTTATACACTTGAAAAAACCAAAACAAAAAGAAATAACGTCAAGAGAAATCGGATAAATAACAAGAGAAGTAACCAGATTGCTGAAGAGGAAATTGAAAACTATGCGAACATTTTACGGTAGGAACGACAACTAATAGCCGAGAATTTACAGTGCACGCCCAGATGCAGCTAATCGCAAACGCACCTAACATTTTGCCCATATACTACTAATGAAAACATTGAAATATATGTATATGTATTTAAATAAATATTTATGCCAAGTTGTCAACTAAAAGTTATGTGTTGGGGATCATTTATAAATAGTTGCGGAGGAAAATTAACTGCTCATCAAGAATTGTATATTCATTTAGAAAAAATAAATTTTTTTAAATCCATTTCTCCAAAATAAGTTTTCTGTTTCAATTTCGTATTTAAATAGAAAACAATTTAACGTAGAATTACGTTACTTGGTATGTACATAAGTTAGCCATAATTTCTTATCTATAAGCTTTGTTTTCAGGAGACTAAGAATCCTGCTCAATCATATCCATCAGCTGCAAAAACTCCTGCGAAGCGCCATCAACTTCATTTTCCGCTTCGCCATACTCCTCATAATCATCGTCGTCCTGAATGAGAACCAGATTTAAGTAGTGGAATAAATGACAGTCTACGTTTTGGAACATACCTCGAAACCAAAGCAGTTTTTGGCACTAATCTTGGAGTTGGCGCTCGGCTCGTGCTTGACCAACACCTCCTCGTCGCCATTAACAAGCTCAACGACCATAACCTCGCCGTCATCACCTTGCAATTCCACGGTGAAGTCGGAGTTATCCGGCTCCTCCTTGATGTGGAACGTCTTGGTGCCCCGCTGACTTCGGAGTCGTTGATTGATGATCATCGGCTGCTTTTCGGAGGCGGCAAGCCTTGCCTGTTTGTTGATAATGACAGGTGCGGGCTTGACTCTCTGCCGTATCGGATCACTGACTATGGTTTCCACATCTTCAGCGTCTTCACCCTCCGAGTTCTCAGGCTCGATTTCAGCTAGGTCATAGCTCTCTGGGTTGTCTTCCTCTTCGTTGTCCTCCTGGTCCATATTCAGAAATTGCTCCTTGACCAACGTGATGACAGTGCCATCCTTCTGGAGTCGCACATTTCTGCCCAACTTAAGGCGGCGCCGCTTTTCGCGAGCGTTCGCCGAATCGTCGTGAATCTCCATGTGTCTCATTAGATTACCCTTGTGGGTAAACTCCCGTGGACAGCTCGGGCACTTGTGCAGTTTAGCGCGCGGTGCTGGTGGCTGATACTCTTCGTTGTGTACGAGATTCATATGGCGACGCAGCAATTGGCGCTGGCGGAAGGCCTGCGGGCACTGATCGCAGTGGAACGGCTTTTCGTCCAGGTGGATGAGCATGTGCGAGGCCAGGTGGCGTTGGGTGACCGAAGCGTAGCTGCAGAGCTTGCAGCTGTAGCACTTCTCGCCCTCGTGCGACTTTACGTGCAGCTTGTATTGATAGCGATCGGGTAGCTGCTGGCCACAGCGCCGGCATGTGATCGGCACATCAGAGGTGTGCATGTGTTTGATGTGAATGCGCAGGTCAGCCTTCCGGCCGCAAGTCGTCGGACAGAAGTTGCACTGAAAGACGGGCTTGTCGACCACGCTGTGGATGAGCTTGTGGGCCTTCAGGGAGTTGGATTGCGTGAATCGTGACTTGCAGATGTCGCATTGGTACTTCTTCTCGCCCGTGTGGATCACCATGTGTCGCTTCAGCTTGAACATGTCCTGCGAGGCGTATGTGCAGTGTGGACATTGATATGGTCTCTCGCCCGTATGGCAGGTCATGTGACGGCGCAATTTTGTCAGTTCCACACTGGCGTAGGTGCACTCCGTGCACTTGTGCGGTTTTTCCTTGGTGTGCTTGTAGCGCGTGTGACGGACCAGCTCGCCGCTGGTGGTGAAGGCGCTTTCGCAGAGCTTACACTTGTGCGGCTTCTTGCCCATGTGCGTGTTTACGTGGTTTTGCAGACCCACGTTCGATCGGAAGGACCTCTCGCAGATGGAGCACTTGAATGAAGGCTCAACGTCATGGCTCCGAGAGTGGCGCGTGATCAGAAACTTCTTGTTCGCCGTATACGGGCAGTGTGGACATGAGTACTTATGTCCGGAAGCATTTGAGTTCTGGCTGGTAGAAGCTGGCTTCAGCTTCACCTCCTTGCTGCTAAGCACAAAGTCTACGTCCTTCTTGTCGGCACTCTCATCCTCTGTCGCATTGTCCTCAAACTCGTATACTTCAGCCTCGTTTGGCGCCAGGGTAGCGGAGGCAGCATCTACGGCAGCTTCGTCTACGGCATAGTCCGCCAATTGGGTCACCATGGAACTGATGTCGGGCTCATCTACCAGCTCTTCGAGCTCGCGCTCCAAATCAATAGGTTCAGACTTCGGTATGACAGTGTTCTTTCTTGGCCTGCCCCTGGTTGCCGGTACTTTGACCACTGCTGCAGGCGGGGGTGGCAGCGCAGATTGCTTCGCCTTGGCTGCAGCAGCTCGGGCAGGGCGAACGCTAATTGCCCTGGGTTCTGGGGCAGGTTTTGAAATAGCCACCTTGGGTGGTGTCGATTTGGCTGGGTGCAAATTGATGGCTAAAAAAAAATCTTTCAAGTGATGAAATACACGTACAGATATGGCAAAGAGTACTCACATTTATTGGTGGCTGTACTGACCACGGAACGTGTGGCTTTCCCCGGCTTGCCAGCCTGTTTGAGCTGCTTTTGAAGCTCCTTTTGTTTTTTGGGTGTAGTCTTGATGTAGCAGTTGCCCTCGTCATCTATGAAGTACTTGTCCTCGTCGTCTTCCTCCTCCGCTTCTTCCAAATCAGCCAACTGCTCCAGCACCTCCTCCTCCACCGGTTTCGATCCACCCGCCTCCTCATCATTCTCATCCAAGTCGATGGCCTCGGCACTAATAGCCTCCAAAATTGTGTTCACCACCTTCTCATCGCTGTTGCCTTCGATTTCCTTATGGAAATTGTTGAGGAAGGACTGCAGATCCTCAGGGTCCTCGTACTTTTTTGTCCTCCTAGGCATTCCTATGGATAAATTGGATTTCTTTTAGTGGCGACCCACAGCGGATGACCGAGATCCCGAAGAGGGCGCTTATCGATTTCTCGCAGCGACCAATTGAAATTCCACTTGATTCAATTTACCTACTGGCACTTAATGACCAACAAAAATTAAGGTAAAAAGGACGCCGGGTGTCGTTATTGTTGTTAAATGTACAATTTATTTCGCATCCACAAGAAACAGCTGCCCATTTCTAATAAAAGATGGCGACATATAGCATCAGTACCGCCAGTTATCGATAGTTCGATTAGTTTCGCATCTTGTCATCTCTATACTCTATCACAGATAATCGTTATCAAACATTAAAACAGCAGATGATATCATAATACCTACATATGTACATATATGATTAGAATAAAAAAATCCCCGGTGCATAGTGGATGATTCACATATTCTTTTGAAAACCGGATATTAGACCCACTAATGCATTCAAATTAAACTGGTTTCAGTAGTAGAAAAGAAATCTTTATTTATAAAAACTATTAACTCCTTGTCAATTTGTGCTCCAATTTGAGTATGATATCTCATAGATTATTTGTGTAAAAAGATTGCGCGCATATTTGGCGCATAAAACTAACTTTTGTTTGTGGTTTAACAACAAGGCAACATTTATCACAAGCTGAAGTGCCAATTTAAACACTTACAAAGGACACATGCTGAAGTAGCCGACACAATTTCGACACTTTTGAAGAAGAGCCGGGAACTCATTTGGGTTCAGGGATAGGAAGTACTTCCTGACGGCATTTATGATATTAGTTGTGTGATCCACAATTTCAGAATATGACATATTCCCGTACTTGTGCACAACCTGCAACAAAATTCGATACAGAACGGACTCCGTTGATATATAGAACTTTAGCACCGAGGTCAGCTCTTCCAGCGTGGTGTCCATGAAGGTTCTGGTCAGTTTCATAACATAGTCAAAGACTGCTGGGTTAAGGTTTTCGGCCATGCCGTTGATTAGATTCTCAAAACTTTCAGCATTGATCACATGCTCAAAGATGATTTCTCCGTATTCCTCCAGTACGAAAATAACACCACTCACTATTACGGAGCTCAGCTTTAAGATGAACACGCCGGCGGCATAAGTACTTGGTTCCTGGCGGGGATGGGATGTGGGCAGCGGTCCGATTAGTCGGGAAACCTGATTAACGCCTTCCAGTTGCAGGCGACCTGACCCCGCATGGCTAGCGGGAATGGGCTTACTAACTTGGCCTAGAACATTTCCTTGGCTATGCTGTACACTGGCTCGCAGTTCCGCTCCCGTCGTCTGCACCTCGCCATTTAGCAAAAATCCTTTGCCTTCGGGTGCAAATGAGTATCGCACGCCCTCCCTATTCAAGTTTTTGTTGATCTTAAAAAGATCATTAAACTCCTGGGGCGACATTTCGTTTACATTGCGTATAATGTCCAGCTTGCCGCGAGTGTTGCCCTGCATCCGAACAGTCTCCTTGGAAGCCTTGTCGAAGGCTCGTCTAATAGAAGAAAGTTATAAGAACAAACTAGTTTTGAAAAACTCTTGTTCAGGACAGAATGTATCTCATTGAACGTTTTTTACCTCTGCCTATTGGAAAGATTTTTACGATAGTCGGCAATATTAGCATTGCTTGTCTCATTAATGATGGTAGAAGCCAATTTGAAGTTGTAGACACTGTGCGTGAGCAGCACCAACGATGCGGAAAGTTGCAGAACATCCATCCCAGTAATGTCGTCACCATCTTTAGCTTTCTGTGAAAAGCAGAGATCATAAGCTTCGATGTTGCAGATATAGGGATCTTAATGAAACTTGCCAATATTAGATCCAGCACACCGTTGGCCACTCCAGTGCCCGAGACCACGATCGAGGATATGTTCATGCCATTCACAGTCAGTTGGGTGATCTATATATTATAATTTTGGGGTACTGTTCAATGCTCTTAGAGTGTGGGTTAATGACTCACCGCTCCCACCTCGCGTCCGGCATTTGTGGCCGTTGTCAAGACTGTGGTGGCGCCAGCCGCCCCCAATCCTACAGTGCCAGAAGCCACGCCCAGCCAATGGCCACGAGCCTCACGGTTCGTCACATTGATAGACTGCTCGTGTTGGCTGCGATCGACTAACCTGCTGCCTGAGCGCGTTGTAGCGTATCCAGCACTGACCAAACCTACCACTCCCGCTATGGCCATCACCGGAGCGGATACGGGCAGCGTTAGCAGGGCAGCTATAGGCACACAGGCAGCACCAAGTCCTCCAATTGCCGACCCAGTATCCATGTAGCCAAGCACCATGCTCGTGGTGGTGCCCGCCGGTGTTATGTACTTATCCAGACGTACTTGATCCCTAACCAGTCGGTAAACTCCCTTCTCTGGAGCCACCATCACTCCGGCGGGCAACTCGTTTTTGGCCACATACTGTTCCCAGTTTTGGTAGACCCGACCTAACTCGTCTACAAATAGATTGCAGCAATTCGCACTATTACTGCTGGTGCCATGGCTGTCAGCTGAGGAACAAATGAGAGTGTAATGTCAATGTTTATCTTATGTGATGGATCAAAGAGAAACAAGATAGAATACTATAGTCGAGTTCCCCGACTATCAGATACCCGTTATTCAGCTAGTAGAAGTGCAAACGTAAAATTTACAATTTTCTGAAAAATCGGTAAAAAGTGAGAAAAAAATAAAATGAAAAATAATTATAAAAAAATGTTAAAAGTGTGGGCATTAGAGTTTTGTGCGGTTTGTGGGCGTTAGAGTGGGAATGGCAACAAACTGGAAACAAACATGTCTCTGGAAGTTGCATGCTTAATCTCAACATAATAGCTTTTGTAGTTCCTGAGATCGAGGCGTTCATAAGGACAGACGGACATAGCCAGATCAACTCGGCTATTGATGCTGATCAAGAATATATATACTTTATATGGTCGGAAACGTTTCCTTCTGCCTGTTACATACTTTTTAACGAAGCTTTTACTCTACGAGTAACGGGTATAAATATACATATGTAGATTGCATACGTATGCCCAGGACTGACCGACGCATCGACGGGCCCTAAAAACTGGGTGCACACTGAAATCTGTGCAGTCCTCGGCGCGATTAACATCCGATTCGTCAGCTACCACCATTACGTATATGATCGCCGTTAGCGATTGACGGCTCGTGTACTTTCCTGGCAAACAAGTGTAGGCAATTAGGCAAAAAAGTATACTATACAAGACCCAACTCACGTTGCTCCCAAACGGCATTGAAAATGATCTCACGAGCCCGCTCATTATTTGCGTTTTGCTTCAACCGGATTTTCCTATCTGCATTACTTTCCGGTGCAGTTTGCGGTGGCGGAGAATCACGAATCAGTTCAACGATTTTTCTCCTCAGGATATGAGATTGTTCATGGGACAACCTGAACGGGGAATACGGAAAACCCTCATACACTTTTGGAATCGTAAATTCAACTGCGCAGTACTTACAGATCCCAGATTACCTCCTCTGCGTAACCGAGCGACTCAGCAAAATTTTGCTGCACTTCCCGTACGGTGCGGTTTGCCACGTTTTCCGCCATGTTTAAGTCGCCACCTTTCCGTTGTCACAATTGCGCTGCTAATGGAATAATGCCGGGAAATCACCAGCTTATATCGGAAAACTTCATCGTCTGCCACACTAATCCGTCGATCGCACTCAAAATACCAAAAAAAAAAAGAGCAAAAAAAGAGCAAAAAAAGACAGCAGAAAAGCCCTGAAACGGTCATACCTTTTGACTGGTTCAATAATAGCCATTTACCTTTGTCACTTTTTTGGTACGCAGAATTTAATTGGTTTATTTTTACTAAAACCAAAATGTAATCAGAAAATATTTGATTGGTATTCAAAGCTGGCACATAGACAAGCTCATGTTGCTTACGGGTTACTTGATATATTTGCGAAAATAAAGCCAAACCCATTTATAAATATACAAATATATTTATTGAAAACTTTTGCTGATTGAATTATTGCTTGAAAGCATCATCATTTTGGTGACTTGGCGCTTATCGTAATTGATAAAAAATCAATTTAAAAAGTGTGTTCCGCCAGCGTTGGCAACCCTAAACTATGAATGCTGCCACCTGCGTTTCGATAGCCGTGCAATCGAACCGGCTCCGCTCCAGTTACTTCTATCGGTTCCAGCACGAGCCAAACAACCCTACGTGTCAGTCTCATGCGTCGGTGTAAATACAGAGTTTTTTAAGTTCGCGGCTTGCCAATCTCGCGATACCTTGCAGCAGCAATAACTCCTGCTTCATTCGCCTCCCAACGCTCCGCCGATAGCCGCGTGTCGATCGAAAATCCACGGGGCGCAGCGATTCAAGCGATAACTCCAACGCGACAGCAACATCAGCTGGAGCCGCCGGAGGAAAAGTGCAAGGGAAAGCGGCAGAGAAAGGAAAGGAACGGAGCCAAAAGGCAGGGCCAGACAAAACATAAAACACAAAATCCAAAATACATATAGTCGCTGCCGGAGATGGCGGGTCAAAAGTTTCAGTATGATGAGAGCGGCGGAACGTTCTACTACTTTGTGTTATCGTTCTTGGCGCTAATATTGATACCGACCACCATTTACTATTGGCCACGTAAAAAGAAAGAAGGTAAGTGCCGCTTCTCAGCCGATTTTAATAGCACTGGCTTCGCTCTTGTTTTTTTTATTTTTCCACCTGCAGCTGTGCGCGTGAGTGTGAGTGCCAGTAAGGCAAAGACATACATGTGATTTGCCCACTCTCGTTCTCTCACCCGCCCTCCTCCCGCCCTCGAGCTCTGTCGCAAATGGACACGTTCCAATAAGTTACTTCTAACAACGTCAGCTCATCGTCTTCGTATGGGTGAAAGCTGCGGTTACCGCAAGTCGAGCTCTCTTCATTTCCCAATTGGAACAGCGCACTCTACGCTCCACAAGCGTTCATGCGTAGCGAAAATCGAGATAACTCCCCACTATCGGCGCGATCGATTGAGTGATTAAGAGCAAGTTACCCTTGACTTATTGCGATCTTGCTGTGTTTGTGTACTTTGCACACACGCTCACTGACCAATCGGCTCCTCTCTCAAGATTTTCCTCTCGCGATATTTTCATTTCTGTAACGCTGGCATTCCCGGTAAAAATGCAAATATGCTGTATTTAATATGCATAGACCTCATATTTTTTTAAGAGTACTTTTAATATTATAATAATAACCTATTCTAATAAATTAAGTGAAAATCATTAGTTTCAAATAATATTATCAAATAACTTATATTAACCTGTACTGACCCAATTTTCGTATATTTGCAGATAACAGCAAGCTTAAGGAGGAATGCCAGTGCGCCGATTGCCAGAAAAAGAAGACAATCTTGGCCAATGCGGAGCCGTACAGGGCTCTGACGTCATGGACCATCAAGCTGACCATTGTGCTGGGCTGGGCCCTGTTGCTATTTCTCACCTACCGCGTCTCGCAGTTCGACTACGAGATGGCCAGCTTCGATCCCTTCGAGATCCTGAATGTGCCGCCGACGTCTTCACAGGCCGAGATCAAGAAGGCCTACTATCGGCTGTCCAAGGTGCTGCATCCCGACAAGGAGACGGGCGACGAGAAGTCCTTCATGATGCTGAGCAAAGCGTACCAGGCGCTGACCGACGATGTGGCCAAGGAGAACTACGAGAAGTATGGTAATCCGGATGGACCGGGTGCCATGTCCTTTGGCATCGCCCTGCCCTCATGGATTGTGGAGAAGGAGAACAGCGTTTGGGTTTTGGGCCTGTACGGCCTGGTCTTTATGGTGGCCATGCCCTCGGCGGTCGGTGTCTGGTGGTACCGATCCATCCGCTTCAGTGGCGACAAGGTGCTGCTGGATACCACACAAATGTACTTCTACTTTATCCACAAGACACCGCACATGCTGCTTAAGCGCGCACTTATGGTGCTGGCGGCCAGTTTGGAGTTTGATAAGCGCCACAACTCGCAAGTCCAGGAGCGCCAGTCGGACAACGACGAGGTGCCGGCGGTGAGTGCATTTTCTGGGCATTCCCTTACTTTGTTCGGTTATCAATGACACCTTACTTTCGTTTTACAGCTCATTCGGCAACTGCCCAACCTGAATGAGAAGTGCAAGGAGCATCCGCTGTGCCGCATGTACTCCATCAAGGCTCGTGCCATCCTGCATGCCCATCTCAGTCGCATGCCCCTCAATCCGGAAACCCTGGAGCGGGATCGTCAGTTTGTGGTGAAAAAGTGCCCTTATTTGGTACAAGAAATGGTCTCCTGCGTCCACCAGCTGGTCATGATGGCCTACGCCCGCCGTGTGCCCCGCCTGCCCAGCATCGAAACGATTGAAAACTGCATGAAGATGTCACCGATGATTATCCAAGGCCTGTGGGAGTTCAAATCGCCACTGCTGCAGTTGCCCCACCTCACCGAGGACCATCTGTACTTTATGAACAAGAAAAGGCACGTCAAGAACCTGCAGCAATTCGCCCAGCTCAAGCCGGAAGAGAGCCGTCAGCTTCTAAAGAACCTATCGGACTTTGAGTACGAGAACACGATGAAAGTGCTGGGCAAGATGCCGCTGATTGACTTCTCCATTCGTTGCGAGGTGATCGACGATGAGAACACCAATGTGGTGACCGCCGGGGCCATAGTTACGGTCACAGTTACGCTGGAGCGCAAGGACATGAAGACGCTGTTCGGGGACACAAAGGCACCTGAGAAGCAGGGCATCAAGGATGAGACCAACGAAGAGGCTGCCGGTGATGACGATGAGGCTGCTGCCGCAGCGCCGGTCAAGAAGGCTTCCGCCTGGGCAAAGCCACGTAAAGGTGGAAAGGGGAAGGGTGGTAAGAAACCAGCCCAGAACCAGAAGAACCAGAAAAAGGTGCCGGCAAAGGCTGCGGCCACAGCTACGACCACGGCATCCGAGGATCAGGCGGCGGCGGGTAATTCTGATGCCGAATCAGAGGCCGGAAATGCGGAGGGCAGCGATGTGGAATCGGCTGCTGGCAGTGGCAGCGAGGATGAGGAGAAGGGCAAGAACAACTCCTCGCTGGACGACGACGATGACGAGGAGTGGGAGCGACTTCAAGCTAAGCTTAACAAGAGGGAGCGTCTCGAGGGCAAGTCTCGGCTGTCGCACACCGTCCACTGCCCCTACTTCCCTGAGGAGAAGCAGGAGTACTGGTGGACCTACATATGCGACCGCAAGTCCCGCACCCTGCTGACGGCGCCCTATCACGTGACCAATCTGGTTGAGAAGGAGGAGATCCAGCTGAAGTTCACCGCGCCGCGCTGGCCAGGCGTCTACACGTTCACCGTTTGCCTGAGATCGGGTGAGTTTCTGGAAGGGATCCAGTTGAATTAGACCTACAGTGAATGAGTTCCGCTAGTTCTTCGGCCTGCGTTATGATTCTCACACATTGTTTCCACTGTTTCAGACTCCTACTTGGGCATGGACCAGCAGCAGGAGCTGAAGCTGGATGTGCAGAAGGCGCCCGCACCACCGACAGATCATCCTCAGTGGGATCTGAGCGAATCGGAGCCGGAGCACACCGACCAGCAGGAGAACCTGAGCGACTACACCACAGATACGTCCGATGAGGAGGACAGCGACTAGATCTAGATGGACAGAGCGACGGAAGGATGGACGTCCCGGAACCCGAGTAACCCCAATCAACCTCAACCCTCCACTCCATTTCTGTAAGACGGACGAGAAAGCCAGCCTCTTTGTTTTCCTTTTAGTAAATGAGTTTCGCGTGGCGGCGGAGGCACACCAATGCGACCCTTCCTTCGCATTTTTACTAGTTTTGTAATGGAAAAGACCCCGAACTAGTGCGTAAATAACTATAACTTCATTTTACCGTGTACTGTACTAAACATAATTATAATGTACTGTATATTTAATTATTTGGATACAAGAACTAAAAGTGAGACACGTAAATACAAAAGTCTATTGATATTACTACTCTTTTTGTTGTTATAAACTGCAAAAAAAACCACGGGCTTGTTACGGCTTTCACTAAGTTTAATGCTGAATCAACTTAAATTTACTAGACCATTGCCGAATTTCTAGTTTAACTTCTTCTAATTTTCTTCATTTAAATAAAAAGCATCACAATTACTTTAATTTAAACCATTCAAGTTGTCATAAATTTTGTCTATTGTATATGATATTAACAAAACATAATCTTTAAAGATTTTTAAGTTGACTGTTCATTTAAATTTTTGGTAAGCATTAAGAAAATGTAATTGTTTATAGCTCTTAGAATTTTTTAGAATATTTCTCGGAGCAGCAGTAAATTCATTTTGTAATAAAGTAAAAACTGTTGTATCATTGTTAGAGTAACGAAACATAAAAGCATAATTAAGCAAAAACAGGTGAGAATTGCAACAAGCCCGAATAGTTTGTAAAAATCATAATATAATTAAAATCAAAAGCTGGCGCTGCCTCTGTCAGCGTTGGCGTCGACGCCTACTGCGCAGCCGCTGCCCGCTCGCTGTGCAATAAAAGATCCGATTGGGAATCTGAAGTCTTCTTAGCTGCTGCTGCTGTTGTTGTCGTTGATGACTTCTTTCGTTGTTGTTGTTGTAGACAGGAGCGAAAGGGGTAAAAAATTGTAAATAAAAGTCACAAAAAGGCCTAAGCTGGGGTTCATTACCCGCCACCAGACTCGTGATTAGTGGGTTCTTGTTTCTATTTACAAAACAGTTTCTTTAATTATTTGGCTAAATGTGCGTTTTTATGTGCGAGTGCGTGTGTGTGTTTGTGCATTGGTGTTTGTGATGCGGATGTCAGTGGGTTCTGTTGTCGTTTAATCGATTCTGGTAGCTTTTGCCTATTCGTCTTCTTCGCTTTCTTCGGAAGAATTCTCCCCAGCCGCTTCGCTTTCTCCATTTTGGGGCGTGTCTTCTGCCTTCGTTTCTGCGGGTTTTTCCTCCTCGGCTGCTTCTTTTGCCTCCTCTTCGGTTTCCTCTACAGATTTTTCCGCCATAACAACTTCCTCGGGTTTTTCTTGGGTCTGATTTGTATCTGGTTTTTCTACGTCCTCATCTTTGGTACTTGCAACCTCGGATACTTCAGGACTGTCAACTTCTTCAGACTCTTTGGTCTTCTCATTCTCCTCCACTTTATCTTCCACATCCACCGATGGTTCTACGTTTTCATCTTCGATACTCTCAACCTCTGACTTTGGAGCACTATCCTCCTCCTTGGACTTTTCTGTTACACTTTCCTCAGATTTGTCTTGAACATCGGAGGATTCCTCGGAGGATTCATCATCCTCATTGACTTTGGTGCTCTCATTTTCCTCAGTTTTTTCATCGTCCTCGTCCTTGATACTTCCTGCCTCTGGTTTTTCAGTGGCATCAATATCCTCGGACTTCACTTCGGTCTCATTTTTCTCTGATTTTGTATCCCCATCATCTTTGGTGGGCTCAACCTCTGATTTTTCAGCAGTGTCAACATCCGCCGATGTTCCTGTGCTCTCATTTTCCTCTAATTTATCTTTAACATCCTCGGATTTTTCATCATCATCCTTAACATCCTTATCGTCTTTAACATCCTCGGACTTTTCATCCCCATCATCTTCAGCATCCTCGGATTTAACAACCTCATCATCGTCGGTACTCTCAACCTCTGACTTTTCCTTGGTATCCACTTCCGCGGATTTTTCTTGGCTCTCACCTTCAGCTTCTTTACGGGGAAAAAAGTTGATTAGAGTCTAGGGATAAACGTCCTACTTTACCTGCGGTCTCCTCCTCCTTTTTCTTATCCCCGGATTCTTCGGTTTCAGTCTTTTTGTGGGTGGTGGGATTAGGCGTGCGAATGTTTGTGGGTTGTTGATGGGTGGATTTTGTATAATTTTTGGGAGGAGGAAAGTGGAAGTTGTATTTACAAGATCTGACCTCTACCATCGCTGGGCTACTACGGTGCAAGATCATGCCTTTGTTAGCTTAGACAAGCTCTAAAACTCTAGAGTTATGGTTCGGTCATGCAGGATCTATCGATCTATTACCTTTTGCTCGGTACTATCTTCAGCGTCCTCATCCTCGCCCTTCGAATTCTCCTTGTCCGCGCCGGCATCGTCTTCATTCTTTGGAGAATCACTCAATTGTAAGCAATGCTTTTACATTACGAAACTGCTTCGAAAAAGCCGGTCTTTAGGGCAACAAAAGTGCTCAAGAATATTTCAGTTCATAATCTTTGTGCGCTATTTGTAAAGAGCTACCTAACTAAAGACCAACCTCTTTATATAAATTTGGTAGTAGAAAAGGCGTTGAGTACATTTAGTTGTCACATTCGCTTTGTTAAACTTGCCGTTGAGTTAATGATGTGGTGTTAGAGTTTGAGTGTGTTGCATAGAGTTAGAAAAACAAGCTTGCGGTTGGTTATAGTTCTTTAGTTAATACAAATATATTTCCTTTTTATTACAGGGGCAGCGCTTTTTTATGTTTTAGCATTAACATAACAGCTGCACAATAAGTTTCAGCTCACTACACTAATCCAACTTAGGCTTAAGTGCTGGCGTGTGTATTCCGAGTCCTTACAGGTGTGTATAAATGGTACATACAAGTTGTTGGATGTAAGTTAATGAATATAAATATTTTGATTAAAATTGTCTTTTCTCATGAACTCAGCTCATGAACTTAGCTTAAGAACCGCAGTCGTCGTCATGAATTCGTTAAAAATTGGAAGATACCCGATTTCTAGCTCTATAAAGTTGGGGGAATAGCTAGCGGATGAGGTCCCAAAAGTCTCTAAAAAACTAAACCACTTAGGTTTAGTAAGATCGTTCAAATCTAAGAAATCTTGTAGTTTTAAAAGTTAGGTTGTAAATTTCCTATAATTTCAAAGGGCTTCCAAGTTGATTGCATTTAATATTTATGCAACTATCTATATACGTAACTACCCAAGACTCCCCGAACCCTATAGGCATAGAAATCGGAGACACGGGGGCCATAAATATGGATATAGAAAGTTGGTAGTGCTGTTAGGTAACATTAGGGGGTTATATCTGCTGTTAACTGTGAAGATTTAGTTTCAAGACGTTGCTGTTGTTAATTCTATTGCTCTGCTGCAGATGATCGCTGGCTGCGTTTGTTGCGTCGTAACAGTTAACGGAAAATACGTGAAAATAGCTCAAGTTCAAACCTCGGCCTTCTCCGCAGCCACCTCCTCCTCCTCCTTGGCACCGCCATCACCGGCCTCCGGTTTCTTTGCCTCCGCATCCGCATCCGTTACCGCCTCCGCTTCAGCCTCCTCCTTCTTGGCATCGCCGTTCTCCTGCTTCAGTTCGATTTGGGCGGTACTAACCGCCGTGGTGTCGGCTGGGGCCAGTTTGAGGAACACCTCCAGGGTGTCGATCTCGTTGGCCATGTCGAAGGCGTCGTAGTCGCCGCAGTACTCTTCGTCGTTGAAGAGCTGCGGAGGAAGCGGATGGCGGGGCTCTGGATCGCTGACCGTGCCGCCGCTGCTCGTCGATTTGTTCTGCATCAGCTCCTTTTCGGATTCCTTGCCGGGCTCCGTGATGTCTACCGTGTCGTACTTGATGTTCTTGCTGTCCAGGATCATCAGAACGCGCTGCTGGCGCTTCTTCACCTGAAAAACAGATTTGGAGTGTCAGTGTATGCACTTATTTTTACGAATTCGATTACAAGAAATTTGTATTGAAAAGAAATTATCTTATCGTTTTGTTCAGTGTAACTACCTTAGCAACACTGTTAATTACAGCGATGACAAATCGCTAATGAAATGTTACCGGCAAGCCCAAGCGCACACAAGCACACACAAAGCCAACTCCCCGCCGATATAAGCATACGTACAAACAACGCGATATGATAAAGCTAATTAAAATGGTTTGTTGCACCCCAGCAGTTATCTTACGATAGGAATATGTGTTTTCCTACGATTTTTTGAAGTGTACATAGGCAGGACAAAATAATCGTGAACTGTAAGTACAATGACCGTTATGTTTTTGTTCTTATTGGGAGAGGAATAACTTTGTCAATTGAACAAAGAGAGGGGAAAGTGAATCATCTTCACGCATGCACACACAGACACGCACAAACACGCACCCACGCAACTGCGATCAATGGAAATCCCTCTCTTCCATGAACAATTTACAGTTCACAGTGGAATGAGCTTATATGGGCAATGAAATGTATGTTTGTTCTGCTTCTTGCCACCACTAACACTCGCACACAAGCGCACTCACGAAAATACCCACTTGTTTTTCTTTGACTGTACAGACATACAAACTTACATACCACACACTACATCATCATCATCATTGTCCAACGCACGTACATACACACATACACGAAACGCAGCAGAAGAAATAGAATTTGCAATGCGTTCGTCACCACTTTAGTTTTGTTCTTTTCATTTTTATCTGTTTGCTGCTAATAACAGGGCCAAACATTCCAATAACATGACACTATTTCGGTATTAAGCCCGCCACGCCCACAAACTTACCTCCTTATTGCCGGACATGCCGCTGACGTAGACTTTCAAGACCATTTTCGCAGATAACTGTGTCCTCGCACCGCAAATGAAATAATATTTTGCGACTAAAACCCGCTGATTACTTTCACGGCGATTAAAAATATTTTTAGATATTTTCTTTTCCTGCTTTCTTCCGTCCTGCGCCCCTACGTAATGTTTTTCCACTGGTGACGAAGGCACACGCACTGGGCAAGGTCGATGGTTTTATTGGCTGTAAAAACGGCGAAGACGCGGTTACAAAATTGTCTGACGACGCTTATAAAAGTGCAAAAATATTTGATATCAGGAGTGGAAAATATTTCCTACTTTGTCGTTGAACCGAATGGTGTGACCGCGGGTTGATGGCAATGGAAAACCTTCCGGCTTATAAATATACTAAATATACCTTTTGAAAATATTTTAACTCGTTTACTTATGTGACGACATTTCATAGGTGTTTTTTCCTTAAAACAACTTAAATATTAATTTGCTATCATGTAAAGTTCTAATTTTTTAAACGTTTTTAGATGTATGAGCAAAAAATTTAAGATATATTATGAAAAATTATATTAAGCTTATTAAAGCATAGATCCATCCAACATGTAGAACATCTAAAAAAATTGTTGATCCATTAAACGAGGGATCGAAATTAGTAGACTTAATAGGAAACCTTACAGAACAGAAATATCTGTATACAATTTTAAAAATTTATATAGTTTAAAAATATTTGTTTTGGTACCTTTATGTTTATTTATGGTATACCAAAAAGTATTTGTTGGTATATACTTGTTAGAAGGGTCGCTAATCGTATCGGTCGCAGTGCGGTCACTCTGTTCACGTCCCGTCACGCAAGCATCGTCGTCCATTTTTGCCAAGCGAGACGAAAATTTGTAAATTATAGCAAGCGAGTCGCAGTGGACGAACACCTATTGACAGTGCATTTCAGTGGCCTTTGAAATACTGCTCAAACAACCAGCAAGCAATAACATTACTAATATCTACCCGAGAACCTAAACTAAGAACCTAAACCGAAGTTGTAACGTGAATGTACGTGCGTATGTGCCAGCGGAGTAGTGGCACAATAAAAAAGTAAATAAAGCGCGTGTGAAGTGGTGCAGAAAGCGAAAAGGCAGTCGGCAGGCAAAAGCGAATAACGCATTAACGTAAGTGCGACAGTTGGAAAAGCTAATTCATTTTTTGTTCCACTGAAAAGCTGATAATGATATGCGCGATTCGACCATTTTTAAAATATCATGAAATCAACATTCCAACTCACAACGGTGTGCGTGTGCGTGTCTCTGTGTGCGTGTGTGTGCAGGCGAGAGTGAGACAACTACTGTGATCGCTTTGCCTGCTGTCGTTTCGGTTGCGTTTTTTTAAAACTAATCTCTGGCATTTGTCAAGTAAATGAGTAAAACGTAAAACCCAAAAGCGTTTTGAACATGGCTTTAGAAATGTATTCATTGTGGGCAGAAACAGCAGCAGCAGGCACATACACACGTGTTGCGGTTTATCGCGAGGGCAGTGCGCGTGTGTTAGTGCGGGAAACAGCTGGTACAGCTGCTGCTGCAGCGAAGAAGAAGAGGATGAGGAGAAAGAAACGGGAAGAGAAAGAAGAACACGCTTATTATCCTGCGTAGTTTTCTTATATCGGTGGTTGTTCTGCTATTAGGTTACATTTTACACTTTTCTCTGTTTTCTTTTTTCCCTCTGCATTGCTATGCATTTCGCCTTTGTCGTGGTGGTTTCTTTTCTTTCTTTTTTTTTTTTTTGTATTGTCGGCCGTCCTTTAATTGAGCTGCGCCACTTCGTTTCATCGCTTTCCTTGGCTGTTTCTCCTTCTCTTCAGTTTCTGGATTCGTATTCCGATTCGGTATCGCCCTTTTCCTGCAGCAACACCAAACACCAGCTGCTTGCAGGGCATCGGTGCTGTCGGTGATATGCGGAAAAAGCTAAACAAAAAGAAAACCCCCTTAGAAACTAGTATAGTCTTTTAAAATGTAGGATTTATAGAATTAGAATCCGTTATAGAATTAGCCATGACACTATAAGAATATAACAATATGGATAATTGCTTATTAATTTGATTGAAAGATATAATTTAATCATGACTAATGTAAAAATGAGGGCAATAAACCAATTTTTTTGTTGCCTTGAATTTGTTCACCTCTCTTTTGCCATGAACATTTGGTCTTAAAACATACGTCATCAAAGTCATTAAACTTTGGCGAACTTTGCATTTAAAAGTTTTTTAGTGGAATTTACATATATTTTCTATAGATTTCTTGGAAAAATGTCGGGTGATAGCTTTTTAAATCATTTTATTTTTGGCATGGCTAACTGTACTTTTTTATGCAATAAAAAAATAGAGAAACCCATTCTAATTTCGGAAGTCTAACCGTTTTTCCAACAAAAAATTACTACTAAGGATTTGGATATTCCTTATTAGGGATTCATCTAATTGAAAGGCGCTGTAGCACTAAAGCATCTGCTAGTTATCTTACCCCTCTTGAATTATTTCCAAAATCGTGCCGCATAAGCGATAAGATAAGAAAGCGTTTAATTGTTGCCCATTATGCAGATCTGGAGAGAAACAGGCCAAATTGTCAGCACTGGCGGCCATAAATCGCTGCACCATTTTCTTTTATCGGCTGCGTGTGCGTGAGTGCACGCCTGTGAATCCTGTTTTTTCCTTGAAACCAGTTTGTGGCCGTCTTTTCTCTGCCAGCAAGGTGTTCGCTTCACCTTACTCATTCATTGTTTGTTTGGCCATTGCAGCCGACGCTTGATCATCCATCTGCAGCATCCATCATCCGGAATCGAGCTAAAATAATCAGCAGCTACCGACAATCAAGCAAGCCATCTATTCGTCAGAAGAGCACCGAGAAGTAGAACCTCAATCATAGCGATGGCCTGTGCAACCCTGAAACGCGCCCTTGACTGGGAGTCGATGAACCAGCGTCCTCCGAAACGCCGGCGCTGCAATCCTTTTGGCCGGGAGCTGAGCAACGCAGGTCCAGCGTCGCCGTCCCGTGACCGCGACGGTCCCAGCACCTCGGCGGGTCTGCCCCACACGCCCAGCAACCGATTCGCCAAGGACAACACCGAACCCAGCCCGTTCAGCGAGGCGTCGCTGGCAAAAATGTCACCAGGTGAGTGAATCAGTTTGATGCTGGTTAGGAACGTCGGATTACCCACTTGTGCACATAACCTAAATACATCTTTCTCCTTTCCGAATACAAATTTACAGACAAAATGGCCGAGAGCTTGTGCAACGAGATCAAGAGACTGCACAAGCGCAAACAGCTGCCGATCACCTCGTCGGCCTTGGAGCGCATGCAGGATTCGGAGTCCAGCGGATCGGAGATGGGTCCAGAGAGTCCGCGTCGCCCGGACAGCCCACAGAACCTGATGCGCCACGGCGAGAAGGCCCTGTTCACGTTTAAGCAGGTGCAGCTCATATGCGAGAGCATGATCAAGGAGCGTGAGAATCAGCTGAGGGAGCGCTACGAGTCCGTGCTGACCACCAAGCTGGCCGAACAGTACGATGCCTTCGTCAAGTTCACATATGATCAGATACAGCGTCGCTACGAGGCAGCGCCTAGCTGTGAGTACAAATTAGGATCCTTCATGGTTAAAATGCTAATTACCTTATCTTTTCAGACCTGTCGTAAGGCTGTGTAGGCATCTGGAGCCTCAGAGAAAAGAAATTAATAATTGCACTACGATCTTATGTGACGGTAGATCTACCGCGACAACAACAGCCCTCATAAACTAAAACAAACAACAAATAAGGAAACTAAAGCAAACGCAAAACAAACCAACAAAAAACCTAAAAAGCAAAAAACGGAAAAAACAAACAAAAAAAGAAAAAACAAACTACAACATACATCGTGTTTAATATATTTTGAAATACACGCAAAGAAGAAAGCAGTTATAGTTTATGCCTAGATTTACATATATATTGTATCGGTTAGCAGCAAAGGGATGAATTATTTAACAGCAAGCAGAAACCACAAAAGAAAGAAACCAACAAAACTTGTTAAATCTATGTTTTTCACATAACGAAAATTCTAAATAAAATGACAAATATCTAATATGAAGAACTATAAGCACACCGCCACTGCAGACATATATGGTGCATCCGTAGAGAGAACGATTCAATGAAACCTCAAACGTAGCTTCGTACATAACTGACCGACAGAATTGGCAAATATAATGTTAGGTACATGTAGCATATAAGGTATGATGTAAAACGTATCAAACTACATATATTGTTTTTTGAAATAGTAATTTATGAGCGGAAGGCCACGAGCGATGCAACAAAGATAACTCACAACTCATGAAGAACACTTTTCATAGTTTATTTTTGCATATTAGTTGTACACTAAGGCGAGAAACGAACGCTTGACTTTGCCTATTTTCTCGAGTATCGTTTGTTAATTGTTTCTTCCTTTGATGCGAATTATTGCAAAGTAATGTAAACACACAAAGCAAGTGAAATGTTTCGATTTGCTTTACAACATACGAAAATGAATACTGAAAAGAAGGAGAACACAAACGTATAAAAGTTATTCATTAAGTCAAATTGAACGCTTTCTTATAATATACGCTTGTCAGAAGATGTTTCATGTTCATTACAATTATTTTTTCACACCTTGAAGAATATATACAAGAATATATGATATATATATATTTTTCAATTACCGCAATCATACATACTTTATATTAGTAATTTAAACTTAAAATTAGTAAAGAAATGCCATTTTTATATTAAAACAAACAAAAATAAAATGATGAATTGCAGAAGCCCGCTGGTCTTTTCTTTTAAAGCTTTTAATTCTGTTTGTGAAGCGAACTTTTAATTTCATCCGTTTGTAACCCACAATATTATTTATACCAACTCTTACTTTACTAATAAAACTCAATTGGTTCAGGTCGCCCCAAATCCAGCTAATGGTAAATTATTAACAATATTTTTTTAATGTTATTTGCAAATCTTGCAAAACTACCATAGATAGGCTTAATGTATGACTTGGGCTACTGCTTTACGGTGGGGAAAAGACTGAGCAAAGATGCCTTTTGTGCATAACTTTCCATTTATGAATAAAATTGAATACACCTTTACAGTGGTTTCTCCAGACTTTGAGAATATTCATTTTGATTTATTGATGTTTGTGCGTTCAACAGAAACATTCCAAACTTAACATTAGTTAACTAAAAATACGCTTGATTCACATGCTTACAATTACATAATAATGCATTAAAAAGTCTTCAATAATAAATACATTTAGTTCAAAACTCAATTGAACGGAATGAGGAGGGTTATCTTATCATCATTATCAATTAGAAGACGACGTGGAGCGTCTTCCGGCTAAAAAACAAAACTTCGATATTCAAATTCCATAAGTAAACTAAGGAAAGACTCGCTGGGGATCTGACCCGGAAGGCACTACAAATGGTAGAATGCAGTCAATAATACAGGGGAGCTGTGAAAGGAAGGGGATCGATGGAAATTTCGAAATAAAAATATCAGTCGGTATGGTTGATTTCTGCATGTTTGCTTTTCGAAGAGCGACATCGATATACGAATGTGGAAGAGCGTATGGCTGTGAGAATCAGAGATGCTTCTTTTCCTTCACCGGCGAATCCTTGGCGCTTTCCTGGCCAGCAGCGAACGTCGTTCGGGAGAAGGGGTCCACACTCGCGTCCCTAAAGGTTTTCTTCTGGGTCTGCAAACTCCTCGCCGGCGTCGATGTAGCCGCTGTCGGTGTGGCCGCCGTGGCTTGGGCGCTATTCAAATGCGATTGGTTTCCTGGGCGACCCAATCCTCCGATCATAGACTGATTAGGACTAAAGAAAGCGGCTGACGCTGTACCATTGCGCAAGCATTGATCAGATTCGCCACCAAAAATGTGTGTCGATGAATTGCCGGACAGTGGAGCATCCAGCCAGCAGCGCTTCACGGATATGGCCAATTGGTCCTTGGCCTTGAAGATCTGTTCAATCATCCCATCGATAAGGGAGCCAAGTGTATCATATTCATTGGGCACCATTCCATCGACACTGCTCTCGAAGTAGCTAAACATGGGAAACCAAACACGCGTTCTTTTGGAGTCGCTTTGCATGAGAGCCTGTGGATAGAAGGAAATATTAGAAACTAATTCAATTTCTTAAGGAACTATCTCCTTAATGCTCACCCTGTTATTTGCTAGAGTATGATAATACAGAAACAGACGTGAGGTGATATAGAAGGCCACAAACACATCGATGGAGTAGTGCTCGTGGGCAGCCAGGATGAAGAATATGCCAAACATGTTGAGCAGCCAGGTCAGCGTGTGCAGGAAGTACAGATTTCGCGGCGTGTCTGAGAGATCAAAGTAAGTCAGTATTAATTATGAACTAATTAATATAAATTGGTAAAGCCAATTACTCACATTCTGTGATAAAGAAGTTGAGCAGGGTCAAGGCCACCGTGTGACCACTAAACATATAATCGCCGCAGGTCCTCACTCCCTGAATGGACATGCCCAGGCCGCTCCAGATGCGATAGGCCCGCGACATGCGGATGATCAAGGCGCCCACCATATCCACATTGGGATCGTCGATGGCAAAGTCCTTCTGGCTGCACTGCAGATGCGTTCCGGGCACGCTCAGCGAGGTGATCAGCATGGTGACGCACCGCAGCAGGAAAACCGTACCCGCCAAGGCGAAGAATCGCCTCAGAAGGACCAATCTGTACTTGTGGAAGATCAGCACGACCACCCAAATGGTGAACAGTAGCGAGCCGGTTATTTCGCACATATTGAAGGCCCACGGAATATGAGGCACGTTGTCCAGGAAGATGTCCGGCAGCGGCGGATAGCGCTTCATGTCCGGGACCCGCTCGTGCACAATAACCATTGTTAACGAAGTTATCCAGGTGACAACGAACGAGTAGCCTGTTGATGGAACAAAATAAACTTGGTTACCATGCGAATTCAGACTGTGACTAACCTAGCTCTGCACGTGGAAAATATAATCATGGAATCGGTAATTTGCAACCATAGTCTGGAAACTCTAGGCTAGAACAAATTAGTTCCTTAAAGTATACACTCTCTATATATAATTTATAAAAACGTTTATATTTGCATTTGGTCTCAAGATGCCTGATTTATTTATTTGAATCACAATGATGACTAAAAACTTGTTTGTGATTATCATCTTTGTTTGTATAACCAATTAGTATATAATGAGCAAACCTTTTAACAAAGGATTATGTATTTGACCCCATTCCGAAAGTGATACAAGTTTAATATTTACTACCAAAATAATTATCTTTTAGCGGCTTTATCTGCCAAAATGTAGACTTATCTATTGAACTGGCCATGACAAAAGAAAACAAGCACAGCCTGTAATGATAAATGCATTATCGAAATAAAAAGCGACTGATAGCAAATTAGCCTAGATAAGCCCATTGTTTTGCTTGGACTTTGTTCACTTAAATATTCAAAAAATTCGTAAAGGGAAAATCATTTTACAGAACTTTGGGGAATGCATATTAAACAGCATAAACTTATTAAAAAGTAAATCAGATTAACAATAATACAAATCAAAATGCGATTGGCTACTGTGTCTGTGTTTTCTTTTGCCGCTACTCTTTTGAAAATTTCCACGTAAAGTAAGACAGCCGTTTGAAGGGTATCATAAACAAATCGGAATTTGAAATTTGAGGCACGCAAAGTTGCACAAAAGGCTCACAAACCCAAACACACAAATAATAAAACCAGTAAGCCAGAATGAGAGGCGTTTGAGTACACAAATAAATGCGAGTGGCGTCTCCACAAATAACCTCCAAAGTGCTCGAAATAAATAATAGAAATGCGTCACTAGTGGGCAGAAACTATTTAATAATAGTTAGAGTGACGTATTTAGAAGTTATGGCAAATGAACCCATGAACTCGAAGGTTTACTCGTTTACTTTTGTAGGATGGGTATAGTACAAAGACTATAATTGGGGATTAATGACGTATTATTCTGATTAAACATTCATTCTATGCGTGACATTGAATCCATTATTTTTGGCTTATCACTTAGGTAGTGATTAATTGTGCTAATTAAAGCAATGCTTGCTAGAAGGAAAGAGTCTATTTCTGGTTGAAGGAAAAGGTGCTGATTAATGCTGGAAAACATGACAAGAACTAAATATGACAAGTAAAATATTTAAAAAGAACAAAGTGTGATTTTTGTATTTTTTTCCTAGCTTTTCTGTTCGGATTAAGAACAAGCATATCAAAATGCTTATATAGTGTATTCAAAGAGTGGACAATACATTTCGTTTAAAAGTAAATTGGACAAAGCGCCAGTAAACTAAATGTTCCGCTATAAGATATGTAGATCTGTGTGAATTATTTGTCATAAGCACCATATGGCTAAGCTTGCAATCTATATACAAACATATGTATCATAATAGTCACTTCCATGGGGAAACCTCATATTTCTCGGTTATCGCAAGGAAAGTTTTATGCATGAATTGCAGTATAGGAAAAAGCTCTCGAGAATTGGCACACGACCGATAAGCCACATGACGATAGAAGCAATCAATAGAAAATTGACCTTCGTAATTGAAGGGGGGCAGGCTGTCGTCGGTGGGAATTGAGGACCACTCACCTAAACTCATGGCGGTCTTGAAGTATTCCGGCGGAACATAGCGTCCGCCCATGCGCAAATAGGTATCGCAATCGGACACATAGCTGGGGCACTCGACCTGCGGACAGGGACACGTGGATGAGGAAGGTGGACCGCAGCCGGTGCTGGCTAGTGGCATGTAGACCGAGTTCCCGCCATGGCTCTCGATGCCCAGCATTACGGATTCCGCACAGCTGTTCTTCACCAGAAGCTGTAGCTTGAGCACTGCCAGCCAGAATTTCTTTAGCTCCCCGAAGGTGAGTTTGTAGCCCAGTTTGTAGCGCATATCCCGTACATCATCCTCGGTGAGGGAGAGCAGCACCTCCCCGTCGATGGCCTCCTGGCGCAGGCAGTCGAGCAGTGTTCGCGAAAAGCGTTCGGTGTAGGTGGCCCAGCTGGTCACATTCTCGATCGACCAATGGGCCACCAGCAGGGGATCCACGGGCTCCGGATCTGGGGATCCATTGGTCAGATGCTTATCTGTCCGTGTCTCCTCATCCATTGAGACCAATCCACCGCCCTCGGAACGTGGCTGAGTCACCGGATCGCCAATTTCACCGTCGCACATCGCGCTTTCTTTTTTTTCCGTTCGGTGTTCTTCTGGCTGTTTCTTATGCGTTCCAATTTTGCGATTTATTCAATCCAAAACAATTGTGCGGCCGAACTCAGACGGAGTGCATCATTATTTCACTGCTGGCTGCTGTTGCGGCGCATAATTAACACCTCTCACTTATTGCGCGTCCAGCGTTTGTTGATGTAAAAGCACATTTAATTTTTGGTTTGGTTGCTTGTAAAATTCAGACTACTCAGTTGTTCCGTTCAGAGAGCGAGCGAGAGAGCAGGAGCAGTGTGAGCGGCTATGCTGCGGGCGGGAGCGAGATAACAATGCCGAACAGCTGATTGCGGATATCGATAGTTGTTGGGCAAGCCATCGTTATCGATGGAATTACTGTCGCA